TGTCAGTCACTCTCCATTTTTCCTACCACACCCCGCCCCTCCTCAGCCCTAAACAACCTCTAATATTGTCTATGGATTTGCCTACTCTGACATTTCATATAAATGAGATCACAGTATGTGGTCCTTTGTGCTTGACCTTTCACTTAGTTTAATGTTTCAATATCCAAGCTGTAGTAAGTGTCAGTACTTTATTTTGGTTGCTGAGTAATACTCTGTTGTATGGATACACCACATTTTCTTTCCCCGTTAACGATGGATATTGCGCTGTTTCTACTTTCTGTCACAGATGACCCAGCTGTGAATATCAATGCACAAGGTTTTCTTTGACACTATTTTCAGTTCTTGTGGAATCTCTGGGTCACATGGTAATTCTGTGTTGAACAATTTGAGGCACTGCCAGACTGTTTTCCAAATGGCTTCACCATTTTGCATTCCCATCAGCAAGCTATGAAGGTTCCGATTTCTCTGCATCCTTGTCAACACTTATTACTGTCTTTAAAAAAAAAATAGTTATCTTAATTGGTGTGAGGTGGTGTCTCATTATGGTTTTGATTTGCATTTGCATTTCCCTAATAACTAATGATGTTGAGCATCTTCGCGTGGGGTTCTTGGGTATTTGTGTATCTTCTGTGGAGAAATGTCTATTCAAATCCTTTGCCCTTTTAAAAATTGGGTTATTTTCATTTTTTCTTAATATGGTTTTATTGATTTTTTTTTTTAGAGAGAGAGAGATAAAAAGATCAATGTGAGAGAGAGAAACATCAATTGGCTGCCTCCTGCACGCCCCTAACCAGGGATCCAGCCCACAACCCAGGCATGTGCCCTGATCAGGAATCGAACCGGGAACTCTCAGTCCATGGGACGACACTCAATCCTCTGAGCCACACCTGTTGGGTGGGGTATTTTTCTTTTTATTGTTAAGTTGTATACCGAAGTAGCTCAGTTGGTTAGAGCATCCTCCTGATACACCAAGGTTGCTGGTTCAATCCCCAGCCAGGGCACAAGCAAGAATTAACCAATGAATGCATAAATACGTGGAACAACAAATTGATGTTACTCTCTCTTCTCTCTTCCTCTTTCTCTTTTTTAAATCAATAAATAAAAATTTTAAAAAATCAACAGCACTCAAATGCCACTACCCTGTGCTTTCTGTCTTTACTGGGATGCAAATTTATATAGGTTTTCCAAGGCTCACATATTAAATGAGTAAGGAGTAGCTGTAAACTAATAGGTATGAGCCCACAGTTTCCCGGGATTAAAGAATGACAGGCATTATTATTTCTATTCATGTCTCAACAGCTCTTGAGAACGAGACAGGTCCGCTCACATTATTACAGCATTTCCTGTTCTAAGACACAGCTGAAGGCCAACCCTTAGAATGGCCATGTAGGATGTATGAATTCCACAGCGCCTGTCTCACTGAGTCACCCGCACATGTTCCTGTCCCTCCCTGCAGTGAAGCTTCATGTGGACGAGGAATGCATTCGTAATGCCAGCTGTGGTTTTGTGTGGACTACTGCAGGTGAGGCTTCCTGCCGCCCTGCCAGTCACAGACCACCATCAGACTCTGCTGGTGGAGAAGCAGAGCGTTGAGGGTAATCAGACTTTGCCCTGATGACCCTGAGCTCTTGATGGAAGCGCACAGTGGGCCAGAGGCACTGGGGAGGCCGGCGTGGTTCTGAGGCTTGGCTCACTGACCCCGAAAGAAGAGCTTGCTGTCAGACGTGAGGCTGCATCCAGCACACCCAGTGCACACGCTCAAGGCAGTGTAGCTCACTGGGCTGCACGTTAAGAGGGAAGTATTCTGCGTGTAAGGACTGGCTGGTTTTCAGGAAGCCACAGTGTGAATGCATGTGGCCAAGGTCCAAAGCTTCTGTGAGAAAACTGATGGACGTTGGAACACGTTAGTATGAATTACTGCTGGTTTCCAAAGGACTGGGAGGTGCTGGGGATGCTAAAAATGGTGGTTAAAACCAGGACCCTTGATTGAACTACGTTAAACTTAACTTTTTAAAAAATATATATTTTTTAAATTGATTTCAGAGAGAGAGGAAGAGAGAGGGAAAGAGAAACATCGATGAGAGATAACATTCATTGGCCGCCTCCTGCATATCCCCCACTGGGGATCAGGGCCCACAACCTGGGCATGTGCCCTGACTGGGAATCAAACTAGTGACCTCTTGGTGCATGGGTTGATGCTCAACCACTGAGCCACACAGAACGGGCAACTTAAAAACTTTTTTATTCACTTAACATTAGTGCAAAAATAAAATGAAGAGATCTTGGACTAGATCCTGGATTTGGAGGGAAAAAATTGGTCTAAATGACATTATTGGAACAACTGATGAAATTTCTTTGAGCATGGTTTATTAAACCTTTTTTATTATTAACATTTATAGAAAACGTCTTCATATCCAGAGCTACTGTAGCTCTGTTACAGGCTTGTGTCCTACCAGCTCAGGGAGGCTGATACATATTTTGTATGAAAATGTAAGGTACGTTTATATCACCTAATCGTGAATACATTCCCGATGGGGGGGAACTTCCGTTTGACTGGGCGTTGGTCAGAACTGGGTCCTCTGCTTACAACTTTACACAGAGCAGTTTCTAGCTCCCTACCTTTCAAACGGTCTCTCCCCTAACACGCACCTACTGCCAGTGCTGGGTGCTGTGGGTATATTCACATCCTACCAGGACATCTATCCCTGCACCTTCCTACTCTGGGATGAAGAGCCACAGCCTTATGTGAACAGACTGTGAGCCTCACTAACACATTCCACTGGAGTCAGAGTAGTAAATTCATTCCCACCTCAACCCCCTTGGCTTGGTCCCCCAGTGCCTGCAGCACCCATCACCACCCAATGGAGACGTGCCAAAGGAGGGTGGACAGAAAGCGTTACTGATCCACCGCAGCTTGATTACCTCCCTTTTGCAAAGTTTACAGAAATATATGACCAGGTGACCACAATGCCAAGGGACCTGTGGGAGGGAGGAGCCCTGAAGCTCAAATTTCATCAGTTTCATGGTAAATTCGCCTCTGATAGTAACAGTACTGGCCTGGCTAGTGCGGCTCAGTGGTTGAGCAATGACCCAGGCACCAAGAGGTTGTTGGTTGGATTGCCGGTCAGGGCACATGCCCAGGTTGTGGGCGCGATCCCCAGTGGAAGGCACGCAGGAGGCATGTTCTCGCTCATGGATGTTTCTATCTCTCTCTCTAAAATTAAGAAAAAATAAAATTTTAAAATTCTGAGTAAACATTACCAAAAAAAAATACTGGCGACAACTCGTGTCCACAGGGAAGTGGATAAACGACGACACGCGAACTTCGGGCCCACAGTGCTGTGCAGCAGTGAAGACAAACGCGCTCCTGCCGACCAGCCTCCGAGTCAAAGAAACACGCTGGAGGGCCAGGCTCGACCCATGTTGTTTCCATGAAGCTCAAAAAGGAGATCAACGAAACGAGAGACCGTTTAGGAGTGCGCGCGACTGTGCTAAAACCGCTGGGAGACGGCAGGAGAGACAGACCAGATCGGGACAGAGGCCAGGGAAGCCGCCGCATCCGAGACGCGCGTGACACGAGACGCGCGTGACACGAGACGCGCGTGACACGAGACGCGCGTGACACGAGACGCGCGTGACACGGGACGCGCGCACGGCGGTGGCTGTCCACGTGGCGCGGCCCAGGCCGTCCTCGCAGTCGTCTGCTCTAGAACGTACGGACCCGATGCATCACTCTGTGTGCATCACAGGCCAGGCTGAAATACTTCAGAACCCCCAGGACACCCGAAGATTCCCCCTGCGTCGGCAGCCCCTCCCCCCATCCTCATCGCCTGTCCAGCAGCTGGGGGCCCCGCAGAGCCCTGTCCCCGGGAGGGACCGAGAACTGTAACTGTTCTTTCCTTCTGGTGTCGGGGTGGGTGTGGCAGTGGCGGAAACATCATCCGGTCGGTCAAACGCGCCACATCAAACAGCCTCGGTTTAATTTTAGAGCCACCCTGCCGGCCAGGCCGCGGGGGCCCGTGCCCCCCTGCACGCAGACTTCCCGCTCTGTCGCGGTGCCAGGCTCCGCGCCGCCCTTCCGTCTGCTGGGACCGTCCGACTCCTCCTCCCCACCCGCCCCGGCTAAGTCCGTTCCTCCGAGAGCGTCCGCACGCCCGCCGCTCCCGGCACCGCCGGCTCCGAGCTCTGCCTCCAGCCGGGCGCCGGGGAGGGGGCGTGGCGCAGAGCCCTGGCCCCGCCCCCTGCACGCCCCGCTCCGAGCTCTGCCTCCAGCCGGGCGCCGGGAGGGGGGCGTGGCGCGGAGCCCTGGCCCCGCCCCCTGCACGCCCCGCTCCGAGCTCGGGCTCCAGCCGGGCGCCGGGAGGGGGGCGTGGCGCGGAGCCCTGGCCCCGCCCCCTGCACGCCCCGCTCCGAGCTCGGCCTCCAGCCGGGCGCCGGGGAGGGGGGCGTGGCGCGGAGCTCTGGCCCCGCCCCCGCCTTCCCCGCAGAGCAAGGCGCGCCGCGGCCCCTCCCCAAGCCCGGAGAAGTAGGCTCTGCTGCGCACGCCACACCCAGCCGCGGTGAAGCGGAGCCTGTCGGCGGGAAGCCCGGCCCGGCGCTTGGAGGGGAGCAGGCTCCGCGCTGCAGGGAACGCGGCGGGCCCGGGGCTCGGGCCTCCGTTCCTCTGGGACCCGGGAGCTAGGCCCCGGCAGTAAGATGGGCCCTCCCTCCCATCTTCGGATGCTCCCCGCCCGCCCGGTCTCCTAGCAGCGCTGTGACGCGCAGGCGCTGTGGGTGCGGCCGCCGTGACGCGCAGGCGCTGTGGGTGCGGCCGCCGTGACGCGCAAGCGCGGTGGGTGCGGGCCGCCGTGACGCGCAGGCGCGGTGGGTGCGGGCCGCCGTGACGCGCAGGCGCTCTGGGTACGAGGCCGCGGCCCGGGTGAGCGCTGCGCGCGAGGGAGCGTCTGGGCGTGCGGGGGTGCGGGCGCCGGGGGCGACGGCGACTAGGGCGACGCCCTGGGGCTTGGCGATCCCAGCTGCTTCGCTCCGGGAGAGCCGCCCTCCCCGGAGCCTTAAGATAGTAACTTCAGACCCCCAGCTGCACTTTTGCTGGAATCGGGCAGCTTGTCCTGAGTCCTTTTTGAGAAAGATGTGCAAGAGCATTGTTGATGGCCCTTTGCACGGAGCTTCCTGCTGGCAGCGGGCACCGCGCAGTCCGGCCTGGGCCCCGACACAGGCTGCGCGGGCCCGCCGGGCGCTGGGGCCTCCGGTAACCGCAGTCTGAGATAAGGCGCGGCCTAGGACCTGTGCATATTTATGGGGCGACACTCACCTGCCGTAGGATCCCCCAAGGTCAGGTTACTTGAGAAGCACAAAGCTCTGTTTGGGACATCTCAGCGCCTTAGCGGTTCCCCATTGGGTCAAAACAGCATTGCTCTCTGCGCTTGGTGGTTCTGATGGTAGATTCCCATTGTGAAGTGTCCCCCCTGTTTTGTGAAAATGCAGTAGGGTTTACTCCCAAATTTCTCCGGTATCTGCTATTTCTAGAGGTCAAGTAGCCAGTGAGCAGGAACAGGCTGTGTGTGTGTGTGTATGGAAAAGTAATTCTGTCTTTTCAGCAGAGAAAAATGGGTGAATGGAAGAAAAGCCTGATTTGGTCGTGCCAGGATGCGTTCCCTGGTCCTTTGAGGCAAAGCCCAGGGACGCTAGGCTGACTCCAGGACAGCCATCTGGTACTTTATACTTGAACTTGATTGTGTAATCTCCTCAACAGAATGTTGAAGGATGTTTGTTCCGAGAGCTCTCAAAGTCAAGAGGAACGCTCATGATGATGGCAAAGGCTGTGTGGCCAAGAAAGCGAAACCAGAAGCAGAAGCCCTTGGGGGGGATGAGGGCAGCGGTCACCCAGCTGAAGCTGTCGTCACAGAAGAAGCCAAAGCCGCGGACAGGCACAGTGCAGAACTGTGCCCTTGCCCAGGTGCACTCCTGGAAGCTGAGCAGGGTGCCAAGGACAACCATGTCTCTGAAGAACCTGTGAAGTCATTTTCCAGAACGCAGCGCTGGGCAGCGCCCGGGGAGCCTGTGTGTGTTGTCTGTGGCCGTTACGGGGAGTATATCTGTGATGAGACGGATGAAGATGTGTGTAGCTTGGAGTGCAAAGCGAAACATCTTCTGCAAGTTAAGGGAAGGGAAGAGAAAGTAGCACTCAGCAGCCCGCAGGAAGCTGGCTCTTGGCCCCAGTCCCCAGTTCATACATCCTATGTCTATAAAGAGCATCCCTTCATCTCGGGCCTCCAGGAGGACCAGGTTGAGAATCTTAAATGTCAGCTGGGAATTTCAGTTCAAGGGCAAGATGTTGCCAGGCCCATCACTGACTTTGAGCACTGTGGTTTCCCTGAGGCCTTGAACCTCAACCTGAAGGCAGCAGGCTATGAAGTGCCGACCCCCATCCAGATGCAGATGACTCCCGTGGGGCTCCTGGGACGAGACGTGCTGGCCAGCGCTGACACCGGCTCCGGGAAGACAGCCGCCTTTCTCCTTCCTGTTATCATCCGAGCGCTATTTGAGGTAAGTTTAAGTTCACCTGGATCCTCAGGAGCAAGTGAGGTGTTCTCCAACTTCCGTACTCAACTGTGTTCACGTCGCAAATTACACTGAATAATTAGAATTTAGCAGTGTATCTGAAAAACATTTTAGGGTATTTTCCTTTTATTATATTGAACAAAAGACCTTCAATGAAGGTCTCAAAAATTGCTTTCCTTCCGAAATGTCTTCTTTCTAACAAATTTGGGAAACTAAAGAGTAGTGGATGATAACATGAGAAAAAAATAAAAGACAGCACTCAATGGTCAGGATACCAGTGGTGGGTGAAAGTCACTGGAGGACCAGAACGGAGCCACAGGGCAGGAAATAGGATGGTGTTCACACAAGTAAGTTCTTTGAAGAAAGAAAGACGGGAATCCACGAGGACTCTAAGAGGGAATGTCAAGGGCAGAAAGCCAAGCGTGACCCAGCTCTTCACGGTGACCCGGGGAGGATGGTTAGAGACTACGGAGTTTGAGTGACTAGGAGCAAACCTGCTGTGTTCCCACCTTGGTCACTGTGGACACCTCTCCCTGGCCCCAATTTTTTATCTTTCATAGTACAGTGATACCTCGGTTCTCTAACATAATTCGGTCCAGGAGGACGGTCGAGAACCAAATTGTTCGAGAACCGAAGCAATGAAACCCAATAGGAAATAATGGAAACTGGATTAATTCGTTCCAAGCCCCAGAAAATGCCTATTTACTGGCCTAATTTGTATATAATATGTAGAAAAACATAAGTCTCAACAAGAAATAAAAGTGTACAGTATGTCTAAGGGTTAAATTCAGTGTAAAGCGTGACTCTCTCCACAAAGCGTGACTCTCTCTCTGCACTCACACTGAGGACGCGAGCAAGGCGCGCTGGGCCGAATGAACGCCATTCGGCTCAACTCGGCTCATCTCGGAAGTTCGAGTTCCAAATATTTGTTCGGATTCCAAGACAAAAGTTTCTCGAATCTCCTGGTCGAATACCGATTTGGTCGAAATCCGAGGCGTTCGAGAACCGAGGTATCACTGTATATCTGTGTCACGTAAGACACGGGTTCCCTTTATGATGGTTTTCGGAGACAGACTCTGTAGTGAGCAGAAGGCAGGAGGGCTCATTTCCTGTTGGGCTGATGGGAACACGGAAAAAAGGAAGTGCTCCTGGAATCACTGCAGATTTGGTCCAGGTCCAGGGGAATGGATCGCTGGTGGCTTCAGACTTGTTTTCCGTCTTTGCAGAGCACGTCTCCGTCCGCAGTCATCCTTACCCCAACGAGAGAGTTAGCCATTCAGATAGAGAGACAAGCCAAGGAGCTGATGAAAGGCTTGCCGCGCATGAAGACCGTGCTTCTGGTGGGGGGCTTGCCCCTACCCCCGCAGCTGTACCGTTTGCGGCAGCATGTCAAGGTGAGCACCGAGCCCGTGGCCGGTCATTGACAAGCAATAGGGATCTAGTGTTTTCTTCCATGGGAAAGTTTTGCTTGTGATTCTAGACGGCCTTTAAATTCTTGCCAAGCAGGTATAATGGTTTTGAAGTTCGTTTCATGTAGGGCAAGGAAGGAACGCATTTATGGAGTACGTGTTGCATGCCACGAGCTGTTGGATATTCACACAGGCATCTCATGTAATCATCACACATGCTCTTGGAGCTGCTTGGCTTATCCCATCTTTTATGATTGAGAAGTTGACTCTCAGAAAGGGGATTTGTCCAAGGATCCAAAGCTAATATGCTTTAGGGCGTGATTCCTACGAACAAGGACATTCTCCTGCGTAACCACAGTACAGTTACAGGATCAGGCAGGTAACATCGAACCACTATGTGCACATGGGAGTGAGTTGCTGTCCTCTCCTCCTCAGACCATTCCTGTTTTCTAATTGTCCTGTCAGGTTTTATAGCATGAGAATCCTGTTCAGAATCATATGTTGACCCAGTGATTCCACTTCTGGGTATTTATCTGAAGAAACCCAAAATGCTGATCCGAAAGAATATGTGTACCCTTATGTTCATTGCAGTGTTATTTACAGCAGCCAACACATGTAAGCCCCCAGTGCCCATCAAAAGACAAGTGGATAAAATAGCTGTGGTATGTTTACACAGTGGAATATTATTCGACTGTAAAAAAGAATGTACTCTTACCATTTGCAACAGCATGGATGGACCTAGGTGGTATAATACTCAGTAAAATAAGTCATACAGAGAAATTCCGTATGTTTTCGCTTACATGTGGAATCCAAACAAAACAAACAAACAACATTAGAGAAAAAGAAAATCATACATTTAGTTGTCTTGTCCTGTTCATCTCCTTCTGTTTGGGACAGTTCTTCAGTCTGTCCTTCTTTTTGTGATTTTAACACTTTCAAGGACTGTAAATGACTTACTTTGGAGACTGTTTCTCAGTCGATTCCATCTGAGTTCTGTACCTTTGGAGCATCACAGGAGCGATACTCTGCTTTCTGTGTAATCCTTGTAAATGACTCACAGTTTAGTGGGTCTTTTCATGGTGAAATTACCTGTCAAGTACCCTAAAGTTTGTTTTTCCCTTTGTATTTAGTAAATATTTGGGGAGAAGTACCTTCACGCTAAATTTCTTGTACTTCACCAAACTTCCAACGTCCTCATTTATTTTTGTATTTGCTTTTCCCCATGTGTTCAGGTTGTCATAGCGACTCCCGGCCGACTCCTGGACATCGTGAAGCAGAGCTCCGTGCAGCTCAGCGGCGTGAAGATAGTGGTCGTAGATGAAGTGAGTGTGGTGGTGAGAAACATCGTCACGCAGTGTTATATAGTTCATGAGAAGTATGTGTCAGTCACGTGACTCCTTGTGTGTTCAGGCATTTTTCTCCCCAAAGCAGAAGGATTTGGGGTCCTAATTGTAGTGCTGCTGAAACTCATCTCATGCAGGCCACAGCTAAGCTCAGGTGTAGGCATGCAGTCGAACAGTAGACGTCCGTTTCTCATGGACAGAAAACACAGACAGCCTACTCTGCTCCTACTCTGACTCTGCTTATCTCTTACTGTGTCTGAGTGGTATAACATAAAGCTACACAGTATATAATTTTACCTAAGTGTCTTTTTTTCCCCAATGGATCCTTTGTCTTTTGACACTGTGGTAGTTGTTTCTGTGTCAGAGTTTTTTGTTACAGCAGTCTTTCCTTGGGTGGCGCTGGGTTCTAATGTCAAATCGGACTACCTTTAAAATGGCTTTATTTCAGGCTGACACCATGTTAAAGATGGGCTTCCAACAGCAGGTGTTGGACATTTTGGAACATGTCCCTCATTACTGTCAGACCATTCTGGTCTCAGCTACAATTCCAGCCAGCATAGAGCAACTAGCCAGCCAGCTTCTGCACGATCCTGTGAGAATCGTAGCTGGGGAAAAGAACCTGCCTTGTTCCAACGTGCGGCAGATCATTCTGTGGGTCGAAGAGCCTGCCAAAAAGAAGAAATTATTTGAAATCTTAAATGTGAGTAGTGATGCTGGGGAGCCTGGTCTGTATGTAGGTCGTGTCTGTGCGTCTCACAGTTCTTGAGAGAGAAAGTGTTAGATGCAGCTTGGGGGGAGTTTGGTTTAGGTATTTAATAATAAATTGATTTATCTGCCTTGGAATGCTATAAGAATCGATTTAATTATTATTTTTTTATTAAAAAAATTTTTTTTCTTTATTGATTTTAGAGAGAGAGGAAGGGAGAGGGAGAGAGAGAGGTAGAGAAACATCAATTGGCCACCTCCTGCACACCTCCTACTGGGAATCGGGCCCACAAGCTGGGCATGTGCCCTGCCTGGGAATCGAACCGGTGACCTCATGGTGCAGGGGTCAATGCTCAACCGCTGAGCCACACCATCCAGGCTAAAGGCACATTTCTAACTTCCCAGGATAAGAAGCTCTTTAAGCCGCCCGTGCTGGTGTTTGTGGACTGCAGGCTTGGGGCGGATCTGCTGAGCGAGGCGGTGCAGAAGGTCACGGGCCTGAGGAGTGTGTCCATGCACTCGGAGAAGCCACAGACCGAAAGGAAAGCCATCCTGGAGGTTTGACATGCAGCATTCTATTGCCATCTCTTTCCCACGAGTCTGTTTTGCCTCATTTTTGAGAACACCCATATTACCAGCTGGTGTTTAAAGCAGACCCTTTTTAAAAAAAATCCTCACCTAAGAACATGTTTTTGTTTTTCTTTTTATCTTAGAGACAAAGGAAGGGAGAGGGAGAGAGAGAAACATTGATGCAAGAAACACTGATAGATTGCCTCCTACACGCACCCTGACCCGGGAGCAAACCCGCAACCCTTCGGTGTGTGGGACGATGCTCGCGCCGGCTGAGCCACACTGGCCAGCGCTAAAGCAGACCTTTTTCTAATGACTACGAACTTGAGGCAGGAGTGACCGAAGCTGACTGTTGCTCTTGCCGGCTCCTGTTTGGGGCGAGTCAGCCTGGCCCCCAGGGATTGTCTGCTAAGGAAATGACTAATTCAGAAGCCACTATTTCTGACATCAGGTCCTTGTGGGCAGGAGCAGAGCATAGTTCACCTCTGGAAAATGTTTGCCTGATTAAACTAATAGAGAATAAAAAACATCCCTTGGGGGTGAGGGGCCGGCCACACTCATTTTCCAGGTTCACTAAGACTTTCCTTCCTGAAAAGACACTGCAACAATGTTGAAGAAAGTATCGAAAGAAGGAAAGATGTATCACTGATGTAAACCCACCAGACACATTGTAAGAGAAATTGTGTTGCTTTTCTGGAAGGGCTTACTTGAGGGAGACCACGAGGTGGTGGTGAGCACCGGAGTCCTGGGCCGAGGGCTGGACTTGATTAGGGTCAAGCTGGTTGTCAATTTTGACATGCCGTCGAGTATGGACGAGTACGTGCACCAGGTAAGGAGGTTTTCTGTTATCACCACAACTTTAATTGGGCAAGCCTTTGTCAATATAATGGTGAGCAAAAAAATAAGTTTTTTGGTGGACATAAACCTTTATTATTATAATTTTGTTTGCTTTTAAGATATATATATATGTAAACCAAATTTTGTTCTTTGAAAATGCTATCCCTTAAATACATTTAAAAGGAATTAGAATATGTGATAACCCAAAATGTCAGTTAAATTTTTTTAAGTAATTGGTTTTTTATTTCCTTCCTTTATATTTGTTATTTTCTTCAGTGAGCATGCTAAATGGCTTTTATAGCCAGGAAAAAGAAAGGGGGGTGGCTTTGTTTTAAGTTGATACATCTGGCCAAAATAAAGTGAACCCCACGAAAGTATTTGTTTTTTTAGGAATCTTGTCTTCATCTCCTCTTCATATCCGTGTCTGTTCTAGTCTTTCCCTTTTAAAGTGTGTTTGTCTCCGTTGCTGCCAAAGACACCCAACCAGGAGCTCCTTTTTCGAGCAGAGACAGAGCCTCCTGTCAGCGCGGTGTTATCTCGCTGCCGTCTTCCTTCCCTGGCGTCACTCTCCCCTCTTCAAGGAAAGCCTTTCTCCGACGCTCTTAGAGGCCCCTCTGGTGCCCCTGCACCTGGATCCCCCCCGACTGCTTTCAGTGCCCGAACACTGTGGCTTTGACTCGGGTCTGCACTGACTGGGCTAGCAGCGCCCCTCCCTCCGCCCCGCCTCGCTCACCTGCGCATCAGATGCTTGACTAGGACACAGGATCTGATGTTCAAATAACTGAAGCTCATTTTCTTCTAAACTTGCAGTGATTTTGGATGGAAAGCTTTCTGAAATATTAAGATACTTCGGAAGCTGCTATGCTGCCTAAGCAGAGTGTGCTGATAGGATCTCTGGCCTTTGCTTGCTGTCCCAAGGTCGGCCCTGTGGTTTCCAGTCATTCACAGGGTAGCTTGCTGTCCCAGTGCCGTGGCCTCGGGCTGTGGATGGACGTGGGGTTCCTCACCTCTCAGAACGGCTCAGACCTCCTGCTCTGCTCTTCTGTGCCTGGGCCTTTTGTCTGTCTGTTTCTGTCATTGGAGGACACATACGCATGATAGCCAGTAGTACAGATAATGAGATGTTAACTGCAAAGCAGGCCTCTTCCCTTTGAGTGGTCATCTGAGTTCCCGGTGCAGAAAATACGAATGCATGTGTGTGTACACAGGTACCATTACACTTTTTACATCGAGGGGCCACGTTACACCCGCTGTGGTCTGCCTGGCTTGCTTTATTGAGTGTATCTTAGACCTCTTTCCTCATCAGCACCGTGATAGGTGCTACTTAATAACTGTACCTGTCCTGAGTGCTTGCTGTGTGGACAGGCCCTGCTTTTTCGATGGCTTGTCTGTGCGGGTGGCCGCATGGTAGAGCGTGAATGAGTGTGCTGGAATGTGTTGAACAGATCCTTTCCTGATAGCAGTCAGATGTTGCCAGTGTTCTGTACTGAATACCCTGCAGTGACTGTCCACCTGCGCAGCTCTCTGCGGGGGGCTCCTGCTGGGAGAAGGGTAGGTGTCTCTTAAATTGCAGTAGCCGTTCCCATGTGTCTGCTCTTTAATTTTGGGGTTGGGGAGTTTCTGGGAAAATCATTTTATATTTGTTAGCATCAGCTGTCTTTTAGAGTTTGGAGACTATGATGGCTATTTTCTTAAACAGCTTTATGTCTCCATATAAAATATCTCAGTGTAAATGTTTTTAAAGGTATAATCCACATGCTGTACAGTTCACCGCCGCACAGTGTGCAGCTGTTGTAGTCGATTTTAGAACATTTCATCACCCCAAAGAGAAAGCCTCTCCCAGCCCCTCAGCAGTCACCCCCATTCCCGGTCACATGCACGCGCGCCCGTAACGGAAACAGGCGTTTCACAAACAGTGCTTAGGTTCATTAGATGTCATCACTTTCTTATTTTGTATTTGAGTTGTTTCTTAAAAATACGCCAGTGGCAGCCCACTAAACCGGTTTCACAAATGTATTGAGATACCAGTTCAAAAAAGTGCTGTTTGACTGTTCATCTTGGCAAAGTGTCTTCAAATACTGGTCCTCGTTTTCTTTCAAGGGATATTAAGCGTTTACGTGAACGTTTTGAAAATTCCCAGTGCGTTTCATTTCAGGTCGGAAGAGTGGGGAGATTGGGTCAGACCGGGACAGCGATCACCTTCATCAACAACAACTCAAAGCGACTCTTCTGGGATGTCGCGCAGAGCGTGAAGCCCACGGGCTCCACGCTGCCCCCGCAGCTGCTCCACTCCCCCTACCTGCACGAGCAGCGGAGGAAGGAGCGGCAGCGGGACCGGCAGGCCCAGAGCCACCTGGTCACCGGCGCCAACCTCATGGACATCATCAGGAAACACGATAAAAGCAACGCTCAGAAGTGACCTGTCCCCGCCCTCCGAGGGCGTCTCCCTGCTGCCGTCGGGGAAGTGTCTGTGTTACTAGGTTTGCCGAGTCAGCGGGACGAGTCCATGGAATAAAAAGGTTTTTAAATTCTTAAGAGTATTGCGTTTATAAAGCAATATCATATTTCTTTCCTTTAAAATGCTCTTACATTAAAAGCGACACCAGAAAATGAATTAGAAGTTAAAGAGGAGCCATTCTGCCCCTCGGGGCTGCTGTCAGACCAGAAGCGGTCTCCGCGGGAGCGTGGTCGGGACGCGGTTCCTCCGCCCGGTGTCCCGCCCCGCCAGGGTGCTGGCGTCTGGATGAGCCCTGAGCGACGAGGAAAGGCAGCGGCTGGAAGAACCGCCAGGCCGCTGTCAGCGGGCGTGTGGATGTCGGTCCTCAGTGGTCCTCAGTGGTTCTCAGTGGCCCTCAGTGGCCCTCCGTGGTTCTCAGTGGTCCTCAGTGATTCTCAGTGGTCCTCCGTGGTCCTCCGTGGTTCTCAGTGGCCCTCCGTGGCCCTCAGTGGTCCTCAGTGGTCCTCTGGTCCTCAGTGGTCCTCAGTGGTCCTCAGTGGTCCTCAGTGATTCTCAGTGGTCCTCCGTGGTCCTCCGTGGTCCTCCGTGGTCCTCAGCGCCCCTCCGCAGCTCGGCATCCTCTGCTGTGGCTGCTTGTCAGGGGGGCCCTGGCGCTCAGCCACCTGCAGCTGCGCCCCCGTCACTCGCCGGTCCGGTGGGCAGTCTGGATCCCGGGGGAAGAGGAAGGTGGTCTGAGACCCCCGCTGCCATCGCTGCAGGAACCGTCCGGGCCGATGTCGGGGTTCAGTGAGCATGTTGCACACATGCGGACACTGGACAGCTTCGCATCCTCAGCCTGTGCCGGCGCGGGGGGAGCACTTGGGAACTAGCCGGAGACCCCGCGAGGGCTCGCCGCCCGGAGGAAAGCCGGGGTCCGAGGCCCCCGAAGAGGGGGAGAGCCCGCTAGACGCTCGGCTCCCGCCGTTTCTCTGCGCCGAGTGTGCGGGATGAGGCCGTGGGAAGACCCCGGGGCGCTGAGCGGCACCGGAGCATCGGGTCCGCACTGAGCTCGTGGGAGGCCTCGGCACCGTGGGTGCGGTCGCTACGGCCGGGGGGTGCGCCAGACGCCGGCTCGCGGATCAGCCGAAGCGCTGCCAGGAAAGTCCGGAGGCCGCGCGAATCCCGAGGAGGCCGTCCACAGGGAGCGCGTGGCGGGACGTGACGTGCGGGGGCCGTCCACGGGGAGCGCGGGACGTGACGGGACGTGCGGGGGCCGTCCACGGGGAGCGCGTGACGGGACGTGACGTGCGGGGGCCGTCCACGGGGAGCGCGGGACGTGACGGGACGTGCGGGGGGCCGTCCACGGGGAGCGCGTGACGGGACGTGACGTGCGGGGGCCGTCCACGGGGAGCGCGGGACGTGACGGGACGTGCGGGAGGCCGTCCTCGGGGAGCGCGGGACGGGACGTGCGGGGGGCCGTCCACGGGGAGCGCGGGACGGGACGTGCGGGGGGCCGTCCACGGGGAGCGCGTGACGGGACGTGACGTGCGGGGGCCGTCCACGGGGAGCGCGTGACGGGACGTGCGGGGGGCCGTCCACGGGGAGCGCGGGACGGGACGTGCGGGGGGCCGTCCACGGGGAGCGCGGGACGGGACGTGCGGGAGGCCGTCCACGGGGAGCGCGTGACGTGACGGGACGTGCGGGAGGCCGTCCACGGGGAGCGCGTGACACTGGCCACGATGCAGCCTCACCAGCCTGATAGGTCAGCGCCGTGCCCCGTCTGCCTTCACCTCCCACAGCCACACACGTGTGTTGGGCCCGGCTGACACCCCTTCGGACCCCCCCGCCCCCGCGGCAGCAGGTAGACGAGCCAGTGGGCGAAGGGTCCCGACTCCCGTTCACAGTGAGGGTCCAGTGCCAGGCACAGGCCAGTCCCCAGTGAGCCGGAGGGCAGCTCAGCGCCCCTTCCTCCTCCTCCCCACACGCTCTTGCTCCCCCTCTTGTTCTTCCTGCGTCTCCCCATCCAGCGACCAGGTTCCCGGTCCTTACGACCTTTCCCCTGGGGACACCTGTCCCCCACGCCCCTCACTGGGGTCTGCAGCACAGTGGTTTCCTCACTTCATGTAGTTGACAGACCACAACTTGAAGTTTGGCTTTAACTGATACCAGTGTTGCTAGTGTTTTTCTCCAATTAAAGATGTCATTTAAAAAAGCTACCACCTACCATGTCATGAGAGAAAACATGAACTACCGAACAAGGAAAAAGGACTCTGAGAAAGGGCCAGTTCTTCCCCAGGAATGATGAGTGAGAGGGAGGGAGGGAGGGAGGGAGGGAGCAGCATTGATGTGAGAGACACATCGAGTGGCTGCCTCCCACACGACCCCAACCAGGGCTGGGACACACCGTAACCCAGGTCTGTGCCCTTGACCGGAACTGAACCAGAGCCTCTGGTCTCGGGCCGATGCTCTAACCACCGAGTAACCGGCAGTAACTGGATTATTTGACAGAGGAACCGAATGAACTCTTCACTGGCTTCCTTGCAGATCGAAGCAAACTTCGTTTATGCACCAAACACCTTAGCGCCTGAAATAAGAGGGCCCCAGACTCTGCCGTACACAGTGCGACTTTATAAGATACATTTAATGCTGGTCTGTGAGCATTTCTAATACCAAGCCCAGGAAAGAGCTTTTTTTTTTTTTAGTGTGATTCCTAGCATCTTTTCAAAGAACATTGCCACATAGTTAAACTGTGACTCACAGTGATTAATTCACTTGGATGAACCTGAGCTGCATCCGCGAACTGTCCTATTTTCTGATAAATGACACTGTTTTCTTTGGCAGGCTGAGCAGTGCTCAGGTGGTGCCCGTCAGCGGCCTCGCGTCGACACGCCTCTGCCGCCTTTTGTACTGCGTACTGACCACAGTCGACACGACGTTTGCTCCACGAGGGAGCGGGTTAGGGCGCGAGGGTGGCATGTCATTCAAGGTGACTTCCCTGGCAGCCGCAAGCAAGCCGACTCTGGACAGACGGGACTCTGGTGTTGTCTGCGAGGCACACTTACTGTGACCCCAGCTGGTCCAGGCCACCGTGCGAAAGCCGACCAGTGACAACTAGGTGACAATTGAGTTGTCACCTGTTACATGTAACGCACAGCACCTGTGGTCTTGCCCCGAAGGCCATCACAGAGTAATTTGCAAATGCCCAGTCACTCGGCAGTTTGAGTCTTAGCGTTTCTGGGAGATGTGCACAGTGCCCTTTCCTCCTGACCTCGGAAGCGACAGCCTGGCACAGCTGTCGCGGGAACTGGGTCCAGCTGCGGCTGCAGCAGTCTCGCCGTCTGAGGGAGCTCATCCCGCCTGAGCGCAGCGTTGCTTGCCGTCAGGTGAGGTTTGCCTGAAGCATCTCCCCATCTGCCCAGATCCACTCCCTGTCGTACTCTTGGCTTCTCTGGAGTCTGCCACCGAAGAACCCTACCCGGGCCCTGGCTGCCACAAGCTGACCATCACCGGCGCCGGGCAACGGGTCTGTGTTTGCTGCAACTGAAACATTCCAGAACAAAAATACCCATTTATGTAATATATATAGACTCCTCTCCAGTTCTACCCTTTGACCTGGGCCCCAGCCCCCGATCTTTAATTCCCCACTGGACCCTGTGGCTCAAATTGGGCCTGTTGAGAGCCAACCCATCCGCTTCCCTACAAACCGGCCTGTTTCCCTCTTCAACTTCCTGTTGCTGTGGTGCTGCCACTCCCCAGGCCCTGCTCAGAGTGGCGAGTCATCCCTGACTCACTTCTCCCAAGCTCCACATCTGCTGAGTCAGCAGGCTCCACATCTGCTGAGTCAGCAAGCCCTGGCTCCTGTCTTTCAAAATGTCCGCGTCCAGCTGCCCCAGCACAGGGCCCCACCTTGAACCCGATTTACTGGGGCCTCTGAACCAGACGTTCCGACTCCGGGGCCTTCGCTCAGCATCCCTCCAGCCCGGGACGGGGGCTGTTTTTAGGATATAGTTTCACTGCTGCTCTGACGCTCCCTGATCAGAAAAGTCTGGCAGTTCCCTATTGACGTCGACATCACGTCTAAGGTCTGCCAGCTGCTGTGCGAATCCCTTTCACCTGAGGGCCTGACAGCTTTCTGCCCACTGTCCCGACCCGGGCAGCAGCCACGGCTCCCCGACTCCGGGAACAGCTGAGCACCGCCGCTCAGAACCAGCAGCCACGGCTCCCCGACTCCGGGAACAGCTGAGCACCGCCGCTCAGAGCCAGCAGCCACGGCTCCCCGACTCCTGGAACGGCTGAGCACCGCCGCTCAGAGCCAGCAGCTGGGGGTCAGGGACGGCCATGTCTCCGAGGGCCCCGCACAGCTCAGGGAGAGCGGAGACTCTGCCAAGGGAAGGACAATTTTTATCAGGGAGGGAAGGTTTTGCATTTTTTTCCAGTTTCGCGTCCCGATATTTACATTGGAATTAGAGGGACGCTTAGGTGCGGGGCCAGGGAACAGCAGTCACGCGGGTCTGAAGTGAGGGGGCACCCCAGCCGGGGCAGGGCGGCCGCGATCCCCGAGTTAGGCAGCGAGTGCACCTCAGGAAATGTGCCAATTTAGAGAAAGGGAACGGGACATTTGTAAACAATTGTTTTGATTTTGAAGACACTGCACGCAGAGCAGTTTGTGACTTTTGTGAATGCAAAAATATAAAGTTTAGAAAACTCTTAATTGAAAATAACATTTCCATACAGTTTTTGGTAAAAAAAAAAAAAAATCAACACAAGTATTTGTACTTCATAAATGTTTAAGTACCTTTGCAAGAAGACTAGGGCAAACAGAAGCCGAAGTGAAGCCGCAGCCATGGCCGAGGGCTGCGACGGGGCAGGAAGGCTGGGGTTGTGAGAGCTGTGACGTGAAACCGGCCACCCCTCCCGTGTCCTGGTGCAGTGGGGAGTCAGGAAGCACAGGCAGAGGGTCAGGACCAGGCACCCTGCGCGGCTGCACACCCAGCACCCTAGCCGAGCAGAACCCCTGCCTCACTGCCCATCCCAATCAGCCCAGCGTGGTGCCTTCCACACAACAGGAGCATTGAGTCCACCGTGTCCTCAGGCAGGAAGGTAGGGTTTCAGATGAACTTGTGAGGATGGAGTATCGGCTGCTACATTCCAGGAATGGGCCAGATTACTAAAGATTTGAACAGTTCAGGGCAGTGGGCAGAAACGGGGCTAATGACATTCAGTCCCACAAAACAGGATGGTCCTGCATTAGAGCAGAATCTGTAAGAGTGTAACTGGAGCTTTAAAAGAATTGCTGAACACAATGCGAGAGCCCGGGGCTGGATCACAGCGCTGCTTGCAGACAGGATTCCTTCTGGAGCGGAGAAGTGAGCGGTCCTGTCCGTGGACGGGGTGCTCCTGGTCGTTCAGAGCCCCGAGGGCAGTCCTGGGCTGTGGTCACCCAGAAAGGGAGCATTGTGTTAGAAAGGGGAGCGAGGGAAAGAGCAGGGTAGGTGGGTCCAGGGCTCAGGAACATGTAGACTATTTTTTAAAGGCACTTTTCACCCTTTTCCTGAGCTGAGGACAAAAGCATCTTTCGACTTTGGCTCAGGTGTTGGGAGTTCACACAGGGCCCCCACAATTCTTTTCATGCTTCTGTCCTCACACCTTTGCTGACCTGGAACTTTTCTGTGCTGTGCAGTTTTACGATGTGGTTTCTAAATGAATTACGGGGAGTGAGCAGGGGATTTGCGCTGAGAAAAGAGGAATACTGTAATTTTGACGTTTGCATAAATTTGAGCACAGGCAGGGACACAGGAACTCCGCTGGCCTACAACTTCACAAAGTCAGAAGCAGCCTCAAACACAGACCCACCACCAAACAAAGGGGCCGGGAAAGCCCAGATGGAGGAGGACAGGGGCCAGAGACTGGGAGCTGAATTTGGTTTCTTCTCGGCCAGCGAGAATGCAGTCCTCTCGTGACTGAGTAGCTACATTTTAACCCACATCCCAAGACCCTGTCTCATTCCTATAATCAATGACGGAGGGGAGGGGTGGGAGAGGAGGGCACTTAGAATCTGGCTGGTCCTATACACCCTGGGTGCCTGAGAAAAGAATGTAAAATAATGACATTTTATGTTGTTACATATTTAAATATTCTTGATATGTTGTGTTGAATAGATTATAAAATATGAGTTGCCTTTTCCTTTTTTAATATGCCATTAGAAGATTTAAGTCACATGCAGCTTACATGATACTGGACAGCCCTGCTCTCGACTCTCAAACAGTAGGACAGATTTCTAGGGTAGCAGTTTGCACACACCCCTCCCCCCTTGTCAAATTTCAGGCGAGGGGGAGCAAACTGATCAACTAGAAGTTAGTTCTCCTTTTCTTTTCTCAGGGATAGATGCTCCAGCTGCTCAAGCCCAGCGGTTGTTAACTGGAGTGGGTGTGGGGGCCCTGAGAACTTGTGTACAGAGACTCAATAATATTTAAGAACTGCAGCTGGGAGAAATAAAAGGCAAAGTGAACAAGACTCATTCTTTGGGCATAAGTTCACATGAATTAAGCCCATCGAGTCCTACACCATATAAACCTACACCACAGTTGTGAAGACACTGCTTATCACAGAAGATGGGAAAATGCCATCATTGATTCGTGTCTGTGTGGCCAAGGGGACTGAGGAAATGTTAACCCAGATAGAACACTGAACTCTCTGTTGTGCCCCAAACCATTGTATCTGGGGGGAGGGACAGAAGTCTTTCTGATGGTGGATTTTTCTCTGCAGTGGGCCAGAGAACCGACTGTGATTAAGCCCCCTGCACAGGCACAGGCGTGTGGATGGCGTAGTGATGCACGGAGCGGTGAGGCTGTAGAAACACTCCCCGGCGCCCCTCTGGACACGCTCTGCTGACGAGTAAATCCTGTAATCCAGGTGGCTTCTTCAATCAGCTGCCCTTTCAAAACCACAAATGTGAGAAGCAATCACTATGCAAAATGTTTTTTTCCACTGTTCTCCAAATGCGAAAACTGACTCATGAACATGTAAACTAAAGGGATTCTAAAGACAACTAGATGTGTATCACTGTAGACACTGCCAGTATTGAAATTTACCAATAAATGAGACTGTAAACTATTTGGGGGCAAATATGGACGGCTGAGTGACATACACATTAAACATCCTTACTGAGACTAATATCCCTTTTTAATGTTTTTTCTTTTACCCTCCCCCGAGGACATTTTTGCATTCACCTTCAGACAGAGCAGGAGGGAGAGAGGGAGGAAGAGAGAGAGAAACATTGACGTAAGAGAGACACATCGAGTAGCCACCACCCACATGACCCCAACCAGGCTGGGGACAAACTGCAACCAAGGTACGTGCCCTTAGTGGGAACCGAACCCAGGACTCTCTGGTCCGTGGGCTGACGCTCTAAACGCTGAGCCAAACCGGCCAGGGCTAATATCCCTTTTTTATACTTAGTAGGTGACTGTAAATGGTTTCATTCTCCCCTTTAGGAAAACAGCTACAATTCTAGTTGGAAGAGTAAGCAGTATTTTCAACGGGATGTCAGAAATGACGCTGGGCCATGTTGGCAAAGCACAGTGGGAAGAAGACACCTGATTGAAGGTCAGACTTGGCCTTTTTAAAAAACTGTGCTAAGTGAAACCTACAGCTTCCTTTATGTAAAAATAGGTTACCCAGTAGGCTGTGGGGCTGACAATGGTTCTTAACTTGTACTAATCTTCTCTGGAATGAAACCAGCGTGATTCAGAGGAAAGAGCATCCGGAACATTTACTAATCCCTGAGCTTTCTTCTTTCGATATTAAAAAAGGATTACTAGCTTAATGTAATTCTCTTCAAATTCCAGGCAGAACTGCCACATGATTTCGACTGTATCCCCGAGTGATCACCACTGAATCCATAAAGAGTTCAGTAACCAGATCAGACCAGAAAGTGCAAGCTCAAACTCCCAAGGCTCCTGGTCTGACATGGATTCGAATTTACGGAGAAAATACAAAATCTGACACATTTAAAACTGCCTTTGTGTTTAACTCTTGTAGAAATTTGAGACCCAGAAGAGTCTCTGGAAAGGCTGCTGTCCGGGGCAGTGGTGTGGAATGCAGGCGACGAGGCCCCATTTCCCAAGTTCTGAATTTGACTGTGCGACGTAACAGATGTGTAGTATCAGGCAAATTATTCAATTTCCTGGAGACTCAGTCTTGCTCATTTGTGAAGAGCAATACTCATGACTGCAGCAGCTCCCTAACGGCTCTGCATGAAGAAGGGACTCAGTAACGGCCAGCCACAACCATTTAACCCAGCGACTAGGCTCCACGGGCAGAGAAACTACAGGGAAGAGACTGCAGGGCCCACCGTTAAGTGGTGATGGAGCCACAGCGGGAATTCAGGTGCTGTGCTCTCAGCTCTTCTCAACGTGGTCCTTTGGATTTTAAAAGTATTAATTTCCATTGTCCTAGTGCACTTTTCTGTTATGGACCCAAATGTAAGTTAACACAAACCTACAAAGCAGGACAATAGAGCCCACATTTTAATAACTTAAAAATTCTAAAATTGGGCCTGGCCGGTTTGGCTCAGCGGTTAGAATATTGGCCTGTGGGCCAAAGAGTCTCGGGTTCGATTCCAGCCAAGAACACGTACCTCAGTTGTAGTTTGTCCCCGGCCCTGGTTGGGGTCGTGTGGGTGGCAACCAGTCTATGTGTCTCTCTCATGTCGATGTTTCTCTCTCTCTCTCTCTCTTTCTCCCTCTCTTCCTCCCGCTCTATCTGAAGATAAATGCAAAAATGTCCTCAGATGAGGATGAAAAAAAACTTGTGAAATTGAATAGACTGTCATAAACGTGTATCCCACGGGACCAGCTACTGGCCCGAGTGAATCCTTGTTCTGTAAACCGTACCCTAATCTAGAAGACTTCCAAGGTGCCTGTTCCCTTCTGACCTCTTCCTCGGTGTTTCCTTTCAGTCTGTCTCCCTCTGGTGGATCTAAAAAAAAACAAACTTGCTTTTATTTTCAAAATGACTGGGTTATTGGGGATGGGTTTTGCCCAAGTTAAGAGTTCACCTGTCAGCCTGGTTCATGCTGTGGAATGCCTAGAAACCCATCTTGCCGGGATGAGGGTCTCTGCAGAGGTCAGACTCGGGGACAGTAGACAGGCCGCAGACACCTGCTCCCCGACACCCAGAGGAGCACTAAGAAGCCCCTGTGGACACAGGTGCATTCAGAGCAGTACGGGTGGTTGGAAAACGGCTCCGAAAGCTCAGGTGAAGGACGGGAGGCCGTGGCGAGAGACCAAGTGGAAAGGTACGCAGGGACCAAATTACAGCAGCGACCTGTCATCAGGGATCCACGCTCTTTCCAACTCCTACTTCTCCATCCCTAGGGTGTGGCCTTTGCCCTCATGGCCCAAAACAGCTGCCAGAGCTCCAGCCATCACATGCGTGTATCCGATTGGAACCGCAACCTCGGTTCTCCCAGGAAAAAAGCCGATTCCTACCCCCAAACCAGCCCTTCCCTTTTGTTCTCTGGCTTCCCAAGTTGCCGGAGGGAAGCAAGGAAGCGAGACGGAAAGGGGGCTTGGGGGGCTCTGGCGCCCGGCGCCGGAAAGACGAGGAAAGTGCGGTGCCGATCGACGTGGGGACGAACAGCCACTTTCACTGCGGAAGCGGGCGGACGCGACGCCCCCCTCACGAGAGTCGCCCCGGCTCAGTTACTCGCCCTCCGCCGGCCGCCAGCCGAGGCCCAGAGCCCGCCCAGGCCGGGGGCCCCCGCGCTCTGACTCACCGACGCGCAGCCACCGGCGCTTCCGGGGGCGGGAGGAGGCGAAGGCGTGGCGGCCGTGCGACGCCCAGCAGCCAATCAGAAGGCGGCGCAGGCCAATGTACTCACCACGCAACCTCCACCCGCCAATCAGGAAGCGACACCCAGCAGCCAATCAGAAGGCGACGCTCAGTATCCTATCAGCAGGCCGCGCCCGATGCGACGTCCAGCAGCCAATCAGAAGGCGGGGCGCCTATTCAAATTGTGGGCAGCTGGGCAGCGGGCAGTGAGAGCCGTGGGCAGGCGTCCGAGCGTCTCCGCGGCGGGGGCGTGCGAGGTAGGGGGCGTGGGGGCGTGGGGGCGGGCGCGGGTCTCGGCTCAGGGTCCCCGGGAAGGGACGGACGGACGGACGGAGGGGGGGGGCACCCGGCGGCCGGACCCCAGCCCCGGCCTCGTCTCACCGCGGGAGGCGCACCCGGCGGCCGAGACCCCTTCGCTTCGCGCCCGCGCAGTGACCAGCTGGGGACCCGAGCGCGGGCCGCTGGGGAAGGGCGGCGACCTCCCTGGGGTTCGTCCCGGTGGAGAAACTTCCCGGGCGCGCCCGTCCGTGTGCGGAGCAGAGTTCTCAGCCGCGGCCCAGTGTCTTGCCTTAGCGTTTATTTGCCTAATAGGAAAGCCGTGTGGGCTTGGAGGTGAAAGGTAACTGCAGATGCCCAGGTGGCTGCTGATGCCCAGGTGGCTGCAGATGCCCAGGTGGCTGCAGATGTCCAGGTGCCTGCAGATGCCCAGGTGGCTGCTGATGCCCAGGTGGCTGCTGATGCCCAGGTGCCTGCAGATGCCCAGGTGGCTGCAGATGCCCAGGTGGCTGCTGATGCCCAGGTGCCTGCAGATGCCCAGGTGGCTGCTGATGCCCAGGTGACTGCAGATGCCCAGGCTGCTGCTGATGTAGAACTCGAAAGGACTTCCTTCCAAGTGACTTCTGTTCTGCCACTCCTGACAGCGGTGCCCCAGGGAACCCGCATCGTTTTACAAATGGACCGGCTGGGGGCTGAACACTTGTTCGCACAAGGTGGCTACAAGCCAGGCCCCAGCTGTCACAGCTGTTCTCTTTTAAGCCTGAATGTGGGATAGATGCTGTTGACGTCTGTTTTCATACACACCTGTTGTTTCGTACTGGTGGCAGCCAGGTCATAGCCAGTGTTGTGGCTGGACCAGCCCTGGTGGCTCGATGGTAAGATGCCCTTCAGCAGTAACCACCAGGAAACTTTGAAAAAAGTAAAGGTTTGCCCTGGCCGGTTTGGCTCAGCGGTTAGAGCGTCGGCCTGCGGTCCAGAGAGACCCGGGTTCAGTTCTCGCTAAGGGCATGTACCTTGGTTGCAGTTTGTCCCCGGCCCTGGTTGGGTTGTGCAGGAGGTAGCCATTCGATGTGTCCCTTTCATGTAGACGTTTCTCTCTCTCTCTTCCTCTCTCTCCCTCCCACTCTATCTGAACAAAAAATGGAAAAATGTCCTCACCTGTCCTCAGGTGAGGATTTAAAAAAAAAAAGGCAAAGGTTTATTACTCACAGGATTGGGGCCTGCTTCCACTCCTGGGGTAGTAGGCCTGGGGAGCATGATACCAGAGTCACAACTACATGCTATATTAAAACTTTCATCCTGGCTGGTTTGGCTCAGCAGTTAGAGTGTTGACCCTCAGGCCCAAGGGTTGTGCATTTGATTCCCTGTCAAGGGCACATACCTGAGTTTCAGGTTTGATCCCTGACCCCAGGGCTGGGAGGCAACCAATCAGGGTGTGTGTCTTTCACTCAAATTGATGTTTCTCCCTCTCTCTCCCTCCCTCTTTTCCACTCTCTTTAAAAATCAATGGAAAAAATATGCTCAGGTGAGGATTTAAAAAAAAACTTTAAAAAATGTGATTATATAGTTGGGTTAAAGTTATAATGATGGAAAAATATATACCATGCAAATGTTAATTTTTTTTAGAAATCCTCACCTGAAGATATGTTTTTAGAGAGAGGAAGGGAGATCTCAGAGAGAGAGAAACATCAATTGGTTGCCTCACACATGTGCCAACCAGGGATTGAACCCGAAACCGGGTATGTACCCTGACCAGGAATCGAACCTGCCACCCTTCTGTGAGTGGACTGATGCTCTAACCACTGACCCACACCAACCAGGGGAGGTTCTCATTTTTAAAGCCTTTGCAGTCTGTGCAATCTAATTTTTTGTTTGTTTGTAATTTAACAGATACTTGTGGAAACTGATGGGCTCAAAGTTGAACGAACATCCAAAGAAGAACAGGTTCTTCAACAACATTCTTTTGAAAATAACTTGCTGCCACGATGTCAGTCTACACGGCACATGGTAGAAACAGCAGGGATGTCTCCGGTGCTTTTTCTTCCCCAAAGAGTCCATCACTGAGCGACCTCAGCCACGACAGCAGCCTTAAGCTGCATTTGAAGTCGGATATGTCAGAACGTGAAAACGATGACCCCTTACTGAGATCTGCGAGGAAAATCAGAGACATAAATTGCACTTATGTTATTTCTGCTTGTAAAGCACCTGGAGATACGCCCCTGACCCCTAACCCTACGGGTAGATTGACCCTTCAGAGAAGAGTTACAAGGAACAAAGAGTCATCGTTACTTGGTAGCAAGGTGGGAGAGTCACCTGAAAAAGTGACAGAAACACGTCTTACATTACAACGTCGTGCTAGAACAGGCTCTGTGGACAAGCAGACAACCACTGGCACAGGCTCTGTGGATAAGTGGCCAACGGCTAGAACAGGCTCTGTGGACAGGTGGACAACCACTGGCACAGGCTCTGTGGACAAGCAGACAACAGCTGGCACAGGCTCTGTGGACAAGCGGACAACAGCTGGCACAGACTCTGTGGACAGGTGGACAACAGCTGGCACAGGCTCTGTGGACAAGCGGACAACAGCTGGCACAGGCTCTGTGGACAAGCGGACAACCACTGGCACAGGCTCTGTGGACAAGCGGACAACCGCTGGCACAGGCTCTGTGGACAAGCGGACAACCGCTGGCACAGGCTCTGTGGACAGGTGGACAACCACTGGCACAGGCTCTTTGGACAAGCGGACAACCTCTGGCACAGGCTCTTTGGACAAGCGGACAACAGCTGGCACAGACTCTGTGGACAGGTGGACAACAGCTGGCACAGGCTCTGTGGACAAGCGGACAACAGCTGGCACAGGCTCTGTGGACAGGTGGACAACCACTGGCACAGGCTCTGTGGACAGGCGGACAACCGCTGGCACAGGCTCTGTGGACAAGCGGACAACCGCTGGCACAGGCTCTTTGGACAAGCGGACAACCGCTGGCACAGGCTCTTTGGACAAGCGGACAACCACTGGCACAGGCTCTTTGGACAAGCGGACAACCGCTGGCACAGGCTCTGTGGACAAGCGGACAACAGCTGGCACAGGCTCTGTGGACAAGCGGACAACAGCTGCAACAGGCTCAGTGGACAAGCAGACAGCGACGCAGAACATGGGAGGGACAGCAGAAAGTGACTGTGCTTCACCGGCAGCGAGTACAAACGTGAAGACTGTCAGTAATGGTGAAAACTCTCTTGTTGCATCTGTGCCATCAGCTGAAGACACAAAAGACGCTGATGAAAAATACAAAGAAACATTTTCTGCCCTCATGGGGGCAGATGACAGTGTGGCACTTCAGTTCTTAAGTCATAGCACGCCCGTGCGCCCCCAGGGTCAGACTGGAGCTGCTCGATTGGGACAGTCGGTCACGAGACCCCTTCAGAGCACGCTGGACATCAGGGTATCCGGTGCAGGAAACCTACATCATCGAAGTCTTGGGAAGGATATTGCGAAAAATACAAATAAGTTGGAAAGCTTAGAGAAAGGGACACCCACAAAATGTGCTGCAGAACACAAGTGGACCCCATGGTGTGGCCCGCCTCAGTGCAAGAGCCTGGCTGCGTCCATCCTGAAAACCAGGACGCCCAGCTTTCAAGTTCAACAAAAGCCCCAAAGTTCTCTTCTCGTAAACAAAAGGGAAAGGTCACAGGAACGCACACTCCCTCCCCAGGAGGAAGCTGCAGACCAGAGCGCAGGCGCAGAGAGAGACCCCGTCAGAGCAGAGAGCAGCCAGGTGACGGTGGCCGTGCGCGTGAGGCCGTTCAGCCAGAGGTACGCCCCGTCCACGCCGGGCACGCTGCTGGCACGGAGCACGTCCCTCCCCCGGCTCCGGGAAGTCCCTGTGCGCGTGCGTCCTCCCGCGCACAGTGCCAGTTTCTGCAGAGAGAGCTGTGAGGCTGAGTCGTAGTGTGTGAGTTATTTTGGATGGTTGGCTGTAGAGTCCACACATTAAACCACCGTAGTTTGCAAATGTGAATTTCTCTAGACGTGCTGCTTGTAAAAAGTCGGAATGACTGAATCTCTAATGCAGTCTGCTTTCAAATCTGCAGTGTATGGTGGGGACGCCTGCCTTCCCCTTAGAGAGAGGCCTAGCGGGTCACTCACTCCCCATAGAGGTCCTTCCAAAGCCCGGAGCAGGTGGTCCTCATCTCGGATACTTGCGCCTGAGTGTAGCACCTCAGCAGATCCGATGCTGAGGCAGAGCGACCTCCGGTGGGTGAGAGACACAGGCGACGGGCAGGGTTGCCGAGGTGGACATGACAGTATTTTCAAGGGTTTTATGAGATGACTGTGAAAGCCTCACAGAGTCAGGAGTTTTTAACCTTTGTCGTGCCCTGGCTGGTTTGGCTCAGCAGTTGGAGCGTCGGCCCGCGGACCAGAGAGTCCCGGGTTCGGTTCCCGCTAAGGGCACGGACCTCGGTTGCAGTTTGTCCCCGGCCCTGGTTGGGGTCGGGTGGGTGGCAGCCACTCGATGTGTCTCTCTTCCTTCCTCTCTCTCTCTCTCACCCTGTCTGAAGATAAATGCAAAAATGTCCTCAGGTGAGGATAAAAAAATTTTTTTAAATAAAAATTAACCTTGTCGAGTCTGAGCAAGAGGATCTGGTGACCACCGAGTGGGGAGGAACCTCTAATTGAACCTGAAGGGTCAGCAGTTAAAGGCGAGTTATGGAGTGAAACAGAGCCTTCAAGAGAGTTGGGTTAGTGATAAGGGAGGGAGCCGAGGGTGTGCTGATCGGAGAGAGTGGGGAGCCTCACAGAAAACCCTTGAGAGTCGTGATAGGGAGCCAGGCAGCAGAATGGCCAGGCCAGGAGGAGCCCCCAGGTGGATGGCCGTTCCCAGGCTCAGCCGACACGCCCATCAGCACCCAGGCCGAGGGCACCTGTCACAGTGATGGGCCAGGTGGTTTCCAGGATAAATTCTGATCTGAAGCAGAGTTGGGGGCAGAAAGGGACATCTGGGGCCAGACCAGGACATAACACTGTCTGCAGATCTAGAGCGGGTGAGAGGTTTCCACAAAGCCTGAGATGGAAGCAGGTGGACGGGATGATCCGTGCCTCGGGGGAGATGGCTGAAGGAGGGAAGGACCTGTGGGGTAGCAGGATCAGTGAGGAGCCAGAGACACCTGAGTCAAACTGGCACTTAAGTGGGTTTATTGATATTATATCTGTACATCTTGCTGGTTTTCTATAGATTTATACCTCTGAAATTTCCTTATAATACATGAGAAATAAGTTTCTAGATTTGAACTGAAGAGTGTAGGTAGATTGGAGTAGGTGGGGAAAGGGAGAACTCAAGAGAAAAGGGGGAAGATGGAAAATTAGGGTCGATTTTCCCGACGAGAAACCTGGAACCCCGTTTTCCCTTTGAGTGGTGGGGGGGCTCCAGGAACTACATTTTGGAAACACTCTATAATTGTGCTGCTGCTCTATGCTTTCCGTGTAAAACTGAAACCTCTTGACCTGGGGGGATGCTTCATTTCACCAGTTGTGAGGTCCTTGTGATCCGTGGGAGTAATACTCAAAATAATGGCAGTAACTCGATATGTTTCTTCTTGTTTCTTTTTGAAGAGAGAAGGATGAGAACGCGACCCAAGCAGTCTTCCTGAACGGGGAAGAAATAGCAGTGAGACATCCTGACCTCAGACACGTGTACAGTTTTGTGTATGACGTTTCGTTCTGGTCCTTTGACGAGAGTCACCCTCACTACGCCAGCCAGGCCACGGTGTATGAGACCCTGGCGGCCCCTCTCGTCGCGCGGGCCTTGGAAGGCTACAATACCTGCCTCTTTGCTTACGGGCAGACGGGCTCTGGGAAGTCATACACGTAAGTCAATTGCCGGCGCAGCTCTCCAGACAGATCTGCATCTTTTGGGAGAAGCACCCTGTTTGATAGAAAACATGTGGTTTGAAACCACGCAGATGTGGGCTCAACGCTCATCAGTTTCGCACGCTGGCCTGCAGACTCGGTCCAGCTGCTTAACCTCGGGGCTCCAGTCTGCGCAGCTGCTGCTGACCTCGTACGTTTCGTCGGCCCCGTTCCCCTATAAAGGGTATTTGTGTGAACTGAAGCCCAGACAGGTCCTTTGTAAGTGTCATCGTGAGAACCAGAACATCTAACGCATGGTCTGGCGGTGATGCCTGTTCGGGATTTCAGTAGCCGGCCTTGGCGGAGTTTTACCGTGTTCCAGGGGCTACACTGAAGCGGGCTCCCAGCAGCCTCTGAACTAGGCAGTTCTACTGATTCCCATTTTACAGAAGAGGAGAGTGAGGTTTCTGAGGTTAAGGATCCTGTCCAAGGTCCCACAGCTAACAGGTGGTGAAGTCAAAGTTGAAGTCGGGCCTGGCTGGTGGGCTCAGTGGACTGAGCGTTGTCCCGAGGGCTGAGAGGTCCCGGTTCGACTCCCGGTCAGGGCACGTGCCCGTATTGTGGGCTTGATCCCTAGTAGGGAGTGTGCAGGAGGCAGCCAATCGATGTTTCTATCTTTCTAAAACCAGAGATTGAAACTTGGGCCGAGTGGGCTCCAGAGCCCAGGCTCAGACATCAGAGATAAGGTTTAATTAACTTTTTTCCCCGCTCCCTCCTCAGCCCATTTCCCCAAAAAGAATTTTAAAAACCTAATTCAGCCCTGGCCAGTTTGGGTCAGTGGCTGGAGCGTCAGCCTGTGGACCAGAGAGTCCCGGGTTCCGTTTCTGCTAGGGGCATATACAAAATAAAATAAAAAGTTACTTTAGAAAAAATAATAATAGCCCTGGCCGGTTTTGCTCAGTGGTTAGGGTTAGAACGTCGGCCCGCGGTCCAGAGAGACCCAGGTTCGGTTCCCGCTAAGGGCATGTACCTTGGTTGCAGTTTGTCCCCGGCCCTGGTTGGTCGTGCGGGTGGCAGCCACTCGATGAGTCCCTTTCACATCAATGTTTCTCTCTCTCTCTCTTCCTCTCTCTCCCTCCCACGCTATCTGAACAAAAAATGGAAAAATGTCCTCGAGTGAGGATAAAAAATAAATAAAATAATAATAAAAATAAAAAATAAACCCATGAGTTCATGGTGATTTTTTTTAAAAAACAAAAAAACTTAATTCATTTTACTTCCCCCTTTTCATAATGTATTTTCCAGGATGATGGGCTTTGGTGAAGAACCAGGAATAATTCCAAGATTCTGCGAAGATCTTTTTGCGCAAGTAGCCAAAAAACAAACCCAGGAGGTACGTCCTCACAGGGTCTGCCGGCCTCCACGTTAGGCTAGAAGGGCCGGGTCAGGTCGAAGTCAGTCATGGCCACTAAGGAAACATTCGGGACGTGGTCCTGATGTCTAGGCCACGCTCCTTTGGCGCAGTGTCGGGGGAGGGCGAGGTTCTCGGTCCAGGAGCAGTTCCTCCTGGTGGAGGATGGAGGGGCATCTCTCTTCTCTGCCTCACTGTGTGCACGTGTGTGCGTGTGTCTCACTGTACGAGCTGTGCCCCATTGTACAGGTCTGTACAGTCAGGCCGGTGCAGTCGCCACGAGGGCACAGGCTTGGACCACGAAGCAGAGAGGAGAGAAGCTGGAAATGCTGGCTGGGACTGTGGAGTTCAGCTCGCAGCCCCTCTCGTTTAGTGTCATGGAGAAAGGGCCAGTCAGCGGCCAGGGGCGACCCATCGAATGCTAAATAAATTAGACGCTGCCCTAGAATAAGGACAGGCTGCCGTGAGGATACGTAGGGGTGGAGGGACCACTGAGCTCATTCTGAAGGAAAGGTAGTTCCTGGCTGGTGAGGGCATCCTGGCAGAGGGGCAGCACCTGTGGCGGTTCGAAAGCAGGCGGTGGAGTCTGGGCTAAACCGGCCACTTGCTTTAAGGCCGGAACGTGAGGGTGCAGGGCGACCAGAGATGGAATGGGAGGGGCAGGCGGAACTCTGCTTTACCACCCAGGCTGCCCGGGACGTGAGGGCTCTGGGAGGGTGGGAAGTGGGGCAGGAACATGATCATTTTTGCTCTTTAAACAGAAAGGGAGCTCTGGCTGCACCGTGCGTGGAAAGGGGTCAGAGCTGGAGGTGCAGCGGGCTGTGAGCCGCACCAGGGTGCACCCTGAAGCTGCGTGGAAGGGGGTCAGAGTGCACCCTGAAGCCTCGTGGAAGGGGGTCAGAGCTGGAGGTGCAGCGGGCTGTGAGCCGCACCAGGGTGCGCCCTGAAGCCGCGTGGAAAGGGGTCAGAGCTGGGGGTGCAGCGGGCTGTGAGCCGCACCAGGGTGCGCCCTGAAGCTGCACAGGTGCTGGCAGGCGGGTTGAGCTAGGGACCTGCGTTTGCGAGATCTCAGTGAGTAGAACTGATAGGACAGTGGTTCTCACCCTTCCCGATGCCGCGGCCCTTTAATACAGTTCCTCATGTTGTGGTGACCCCCAACCATAAAATTATTTTTGTTGCTACTTCATAACTAATTTTGCTACTGTTATGTCTTAGGCGACCTCTGTGAAAGGGTCGTTCGACTCCCAAAGGGGCCGCGACCCCCAGGTTGAGAACCCTGCGACAGGACGCAGTGACGACTGGAAGTGGGCAGGGAGGGAGAGGGGTCCATGCTCCTGGCTGGAGACCAGAGCGGACCCCCGGCCCTCACGGGGCCTGAGGGGAAAGCAGGGCTGAGGGACGACCGGCTCCCTCCCACTCCAGACACATCGCTTGTCAAATGATTTATATTTGAATGATTTTTATTTTAACTTATTTTTAATTCTTTTGGGTAGAAAGGAGTGAAATTGCTGAGTCACGGTAATTTCCTGTTTCTCCTTTTGAGGAACCGCCAGCCTTTTCCCACAGTGGCTGCCCCCCCCCCCCCCCAGCTGGTGCCGGGAGGCTCCCGCTCCACCCCCAGCCTTCCGCTCCCTGCCTGTGTGTGGCTCCGCCCACTGTCGTTCCAGTTCCCCACTGGCACAGGTGCTGGGTCTCGAGGTCCTTGTGCGCCTGTTGGCAGTTTGCATACCTTCGGAGAAGTGTCTGTTCAAGTTCTTTGCCCGTTTTTAAATTGGGTTGTTTCTTTGTTGTTGTTGTTGAGCTGTTAGAGGTCTTTGTATGTTCTGGATACTAGACCTTATCAGATACATCGTTTGCAAAAAATTCAAGGAATTTAGAAGTAAACTGCGTGCTGTGTTTCTCTTCCTACTAGGTTAGATATCACCTTGAGATGAGCTTCTTTGAAGTATATAATGAAAAAATCCATGACCTTCTGGTTGGTAAAGGTGAACGTGGACAGGGAAAGCAACCGGTAAGATCAAAACCATTCGTTATTTGGCCTTAATTTCTGTTTTGTAAAGGCACGTGGTTATGTTAGTTCTCAAGATGACGTGTAGGGCTTAACTTTTTCCTAAGATGCTGTTATAGGACAGCAGATGCTCAGGGCCACAGCTGAACTAACTACATTGTGATTTAGCAAATGAGCTGAACATCATTGACACGAAGTAGTTACTGAAGTTGGCTTTTTATTTTAAGCAAGTGTTGTGTAAAAGTTAAAGGTATTTGTTCCAAGATGTCGTTGGACCTCTTACGTCAAATACTCAAGCCCGAGAAGTCTGAAGCTTACAGAAAGTGTCATTGTCACAGTTGTGTATCTCACTGGATTGCTCAGGAAACGACACCCTTCAGAGAATGTTTCCCGCGGAGGAGAAAATTTTGCCAATATGTAAGCTTTTCTTTAAAAGCCGCTATTGGAACTTACAAGTTTTGGTTTTGGAAAGGACCCCGGAGAGCAGGAAGCCTCCACGCAGTGAGGCCCGGACTGGCTCCCGGCCACACGCGTGGCTCCGGCGACCCCGGAAAGGCCAGCACAACTCAGCCTTTCCTTCGCGGCTTCCGCCGTGTAAATTCCTGGTCCGGCGGGTAACACCTGGATGTGAAGCTGACAAGGTTTCGTGCACGTGTGTGGCACACTGTTTGAGAGAGGGGCTTAGAGCTTGAGAGCGAGAGCTGGAAGCCGAAGGCCCCGCACCGGGGCGCCCCCGTGTGCGCAGGTAGAGACCGGTGTCCGGCGGTTCGCGCCTCACAGGTCGGTTTTGGTGAGAACCCTGATGCTCACTCTGCGTGAAGTGAAGTTAGCTCTCCTCACCTTAACCTCGGAGCCGAGGAAAAGCCCTGAAATTGCCCGAGCGAGACCCGGCCCCCCCCTCACTGCGCTCGTGTTTGCTTCCACAGCTGAGGGTCCGGGAGCACCCCGTTTCGGGGCCCTACGTCGAGGCTCTGGCCGTGTAAGTCGAGTGCGAGCTCGTGTGCCCCTGTTCGTCCTCCCTTCCCGGCGCCCGGGAGGCGGGTGCAGGGCGCGATCACCCGAGCGGGATGTCTGCCTTCCCCCCGCCCTGCTCGTCCTCCGGCGGCTGTTTGTGTCGCTTCCTTCAGCCGACGGGGAGAAGGTGGAGGGGAGCTCAGTGTGAAGAGCCCGCCCTCCAGGTCCTTCTGTGGAGGGGAGGGTTCGGCTCATTGAATTAATCTGGGTTTGGGTCAGACTATAGGAGCTGCCAGCCTCGCCCTCCGTGCGCACACACGTGCTGCCGGCCCCCCCCCACGCACACACACGTGCCGCTGTCCTCCCCCCTGCACGCACACACGTGCCACCATCCCCTCCGGGCACACACGTGCCGCTTTCCTCCCCCTGCATGCACACACGTGCCCACGTGCCCACGTGCCCCCCCCCCCGCACACACGTGCACGCTCAGGGCCCGACCGCGGGCAGAGGCCTCCGGGGGCTGAGTGAGCGGCGGTGCCCGTAGTGAGTTGCGTCTGTCTCCTCCGCAGGAACGCTGTCGGCTCTTACTCTGACGTCCAGGTAGGGCTGCCCGTCGTCTGTCCTCTGCACAAAGGGCTTGTAACCATAGCTACGCGTGAGAACACTTCTCCTTAACTGCCCTTTCGTGACTACGAGGCTACTCTTGTTCCTCTAACGTGACCTGATTTTGCTCATTAATTCTTATTCAAAAGAATTTCTCTACTGAACTAAAAATAAAAATTGATCTTCCTGTCAGCTTAGGGTTACAGAAATTGCCTTTTTAACGGTATTAATTTCCTGACTCAGATGTCAGTAGTCAGCACAAATGGAGGGTGGGAATATGGATTATGGAATGATAGACAGTTACTAAGAGTTTCGTTTAATGAACTTGTGAATGTGGGTGTCACTGAGGTGCTTGGAGAGCACCCTCCCGTTGGTCCCAGGGAACCCCGTCCACAGCGCTGCCCTCTCTCCTGCAGGGCTGGCTGCAGCTGGGGAGCAAGCAGAGGGCCACCGCCGCCACCTGCATGAATGACCAGAGCTCCCGGTCCCACTCGGTGCTCACCCTGCTGATGACCCGCACCCAGGTGGGCGCTCCCTGTAGTCCTGGTTCACGTGCTTCTTGTTCTTTCCTTAAATTAAAGGCAAAAGTACAGTCATGTAAATGCATAACGTGATTGGACTTTAGGAAATATATACCGTCGCTGAATCTGTTTTGGTGTATATGGCTGTTTTTTTGTTTTAAAAATCAGTACTGTATTTTATTTATCATGGTATCATTCATCTCATATCAACATATAATATGCTATCAGTAACAGTGATTATTGTACAGTGTTTGGAAAATCATATCAGAAAGTTAAAGGTTTCTTAAAATTCAGCCACAGGTTCCATGACTCAAACCCTCTAAACATTTCGTTGAAGAATGTTTCAGTTGTGTTGGAGTTACCCTTGAACACGTTGATAAGATCTGCAGCAATTGTATGCTATTAAAATTCTTTGCAAGATATGTTTTTACAGCTGCTTAATATTCTCTACTGTTGGACATTTATGTTGCTTTTTAATTTTTTTTTTATACTCACTCGAGGGCATGCTTTTATTGGTTTTTAGAGAGAGAGGAAGGGAGAGGGAGAGGGAAACATCAATTGGTTGCCTCCTGTCCACACCCTGACTGGGGATCGAACCCGCAACCCAGGTACGTGTGTGGCACATGTCACCACAGGTTCAGGGAGGGTTGTTCAAAAATAGCCAAGTGGCTTGTAATCTCGAGTGACTTTCCCTTTTGAAGACGCACACTAATGGCGAGTCATACAAGACCTGACGATGTGTCTCTTTAAACCCCTTTGTGGCAGAGAGAGTCCGTGGCTGGCGAGGAGCACGGTCACAGGGTGACCAGCCGCATCAACCTGGTGGACCTGGCGGGCAGTGAGCGCTGCGGCCCGGCCGGGAGCAGCGGCCAGCAGCTGCGGGTGAGTGCGGCCGCCCAGCGCGGGGGCTCCCTCCCGGGGCATCAGTTTTAGGAGGTTACAAACGAATACACTTTAAAAAATCTCTGTCTACCTGCAGCTCAGAGACCGGATTGCTGGGGTTTAAAGAGAGAGCTTTTTTCAGTTGGTTACATTCCAGTGAGGTTAGTTCAGTGTCCTGTGGAGGCAGGTAGCTCACGGAAGGAAGTATCCAGTCAGAAGCAGGTGAGGGAAGAAGTCTGCTTACTCTGAGCAGCGTTTTGACCTTGACGTGTTTCTCTCGCACTCAGGAAGGCGTGAGCATCAACAAGTCCTTGCTCACCCTGGGCAAGGTCATATCGGCGCTCGCGGAACTCGGCAGCCGAAGGAGAGTGTTCATCCCGTATCGCGAGTCGGTTCTCACGTGGCAAGTGTCTTGGGCTTGAAAGAACTGTGCGACTTTGCAGCAGGGGTGGGGTTGGAGAGTCTGAATTCTAGGGCCACCTGCCTGGGCCCAGGCCTCGGCTCTGGCTTTAGGCGCATCGCTGGGCTGCGGCTTTCTCGGCTGTGAGACGGGGTCACCCTGTAGTGCCTGTCTCTAGGGCTGTAGCGAGATGGAGCGTGAAGGAAGCACGTGTGGCTGCTGGCTGTCCCTGCGCCTGGGGTTTGAGCACACGGCTCACCCACATCGGCTGAGGGCGGAGTGACCCGGACGGCTCTGCTCAGCACACGTGCCGGCTGCCGCAGAGCACGTGTGTTCACGAGTGTGCAGGCGGCTCAGACGTGTCCCGCAGAGCATTCACGAGTGTGCAGGCGGCTCAGACGTGTCCCACTGAGCACGTGCCGGCTGCCGCAGAGCACGTGTGTTCACGAGTGTGCAGGCGGCTCAGACGTGTCCCGCAGAGCACGTGTGTGCACGAGTGTGCATTCAGCTGACATGTCCCACTGAGCTTGCGTCTGTAGGGTGGAGCCAGGTGTGAGGACCACTGACGAACAGTTCTGGTGAGGGCTGTGCAGCTGCCCCACGGCAGGTGTCTGCAATCGCTGTTGTAATGTCAGCACCCCGGGAACTGTGAGGGACCCTCTGACGTGTCTAAAGCCTTTTCGAAGCTTTAGTGGAGATAGACATTTTAGTCTCAAACGCTTTCTTCCCTTTAAAATAAGGCTTTTGCATCCAGTAGAAAACAAGTCCTAACTGTATGTCCCTCCATCACTTTGGACTTCCGCTGAGCACCTGCCTGCACCAGAGGTCGTGGGGCCCTGGACACAGGTGGCCACGCCGTGGAGTCTCTTCGCTAACGGGTCAGGGCCTGGGACGGGGAGAGCGGCGTCTCCCTGAACACTTGAGGTCAACTGTGCTTTAAGCCCCGTGTGCAGATTGTGCCCCATGGAGCCATGAGAGTCAGAGAGAACGAAGTTTCTGAGCTCAGAACAGCTGCCAGCCCGGTGTCACCGGGTGAAGAACAGGACACTACCTCTCGTTCCTCGCGCGTGGGTTTTGTGCTGCCTAGAAAATCACTGTTGCCGGCTGCAGAAGCAAAGCCTAATGATCATTTTCCCTCCAAGGCTGTTAAAAGAGAGCCTGGGCGGCAACTCGAAGACGGCCATGATTGCCACGGTGAGCCCGGCCGCCAGCAGCGCGGAGGAGACCCTGAGCACCCTCCGCTACGCCCGCCAGGCCCGCAGCATCGTCAACGTGGCCCGGGTGAACGAGGACGCCAGCGCCCAGCTCATCAGAGGTGAGCGCGTCCAACGCCTCCCAGCGCCTAGCGGTGTCCTCTCGGATCCTAGTCCATCTGGACGGTGGACGTCTGCGGTCCAGGAGGGGCAGAGGCTTCCGCAGCTGTTCGTGAGGGTGGAGGAAGATGGTGGGGACGTGGGGAGGGGCGTGAGTGGTGAGGGGACAGCGGGGAGCGCAGGAGCCAGGGCTGGGGCAGCCGTCCCGACGGTGCCACACACACCCGGAGGTGGGGCCTCTTTGCGGGGACTTTCCCCCCTCGTCACGGCACCACGTCTCCTCGTGCCTGTGTCTTCTCTTTAGTCCTTCAGACAGCACGGGAGGGAGGGAGACAGCCATGTGAGAGGGACACATCGAGTGGTTGCCTCCCGCACAGCCCCGCCTAGGGCTGGGGACGAACTGCAGCCGAGGTACGTGCCCTGGACCGGAATCGAACCTGCGACCCATAGGTCCGCAGGCTGACGCTCTAACCACTGAGCCAAAACAGCCAGGGTGTTGCCTGCTTTTTTAAAAATTTTCACCTGAGTATATTTTTCCGTTGATTTTTAGATAGAGTGGAAGGGAAGGAGGAAGGGAGGGAGGGAGGGAGAGAGAGAGAGAGAGGAACATTGATGTGTGAGAGAGAGATGGATTGGTTGCCTCCCACACGGCCTCCATGGGGGCCGGGGATTGAACCTGCAAACCAGGTACATGCCCTTGACCAGCATCAAACCCGAGACCTCGGTCTCCAGGCCAGTGCTCTAACCACTGAGCAACTGCCCAGGGCTTGTGTGGTTCTTTGATCCGCAGACTGCTCGCTCCTGAGTGTCTAGCTCAGGTCTAACTTCGTTTATGCTCAGAACTACTTCCTGTCGACCCCGGGAGCCCCTGCTTAGGGGGGACCTGAGTGCCTGCAGGGAGTGTGGCCGAGTGGCTGCCGTTCTGCTCAGGACCGGCCACCTCCCTCCTCCCTGTGCCCTGCACTTCGCCGCGGAAGGTGAAGAGCTGCTGGGCTGTGGGCCGAGACGAGCGGGCTGGCCCTGTCCCTTCCGGGTGCCAGCCCGTCCACAGACGGGAGCGTTCTCGTTAGAAACAAGCAGTGTGCCTTCCTGCTTGGAAACCTTGATCTCCACCCGACGGGGCTGTGATAAGTTTTGCCGAGGACCGCCCTGGTGTGTGTGTGTCTGTCCCAGTGTGATTCCTCGAGTCCCTCTCCTCGTGGGTCCCACTTTGACCATAACGATATGGCCGTCCTACTCGGGGGCCAGTTCCAGCCTGGGAGCACTTCTCAGGTCAAGGCCAAGTAGAAATCGTCAGCGATGCAGGTAGAGATCGTCGGCGATGCAGGTAGATTGTTGGTGATGCAGGTAGATTGTCATGATGCAGGTAGATCGTCGGTGATGCAGGTAAGTAAAACCAGTTCCAGCAGAGGTCCTGTTTCATTTACTAATAGTTACAACTTCAAATGAAATGGAAATTGGAGGATCATGCTGACTGTGGAAATGATTCTATATCAAATGTTACCAACTGTGCATCTTCTTATGAATATTTAGACTTGAAAGCAGAAATCGAGAAGCTCAAAGCTGCTCAAAGGAGCCATCAGAATGTCGACCCCGAACGGTACCGGCTCTGTCGGCAGGAGATCACATCCTTACGGATGAAGCTGCACCAGCAGGAGCGAGACATGGCGGAAATGCAGAGGTCGGGAGCCGTGGGCCGTGGGCCCGGGTGGCGGGTGGGTGGGCCCGGGGATGCTGCTCTGCCCCCCGCCCCCCCCAGGATTGAAGCAGCCCCCGGGCCGTCTCAGTTGTTCCCAAGTGGTTTCATAATCTTGACTGGTTATCTGTTGATTCTCAATCCTAAATATATGTGTATTTTTAACTGTTTTGTTTGTCTTTGGGAAGAGTGTGGAAAGAAAAATTTGAACAAGCCGAAAAAAGAAAACATCATGAAATAAAGGAGTTGCAGGTACGCCCTGCACGTCCTAGCTGGCGTGGGTGTTAACGGAAGGTGGCGGCAGGATGCGATTGTTTGCGGGTGCCCGACCCTGCAGGAAGGAGCGGGCTGCAGAGTGGATGGGTGGGCAGCAGGCGGAGGGCGCGGTGACCGCTCAGGGCCGTGGGCTGGTCGGGTGTCCACACACAAGCCGTCCGGTTCCACAGGTGTCTACAAGCGTTTGCGCTGGGCCAGGCGTGGGACCCAGGCAAGGGAAGGCCGGCTTGGCCCTCAGAGCTCGTGATCCACGGGGGGTTTACAGAATGGACATGATGCCTGAAGTGCAGGTGCTGGGTGAGGCTGAACCACAGGAAACTGCCGCGTTTTAGGTGAACAGTGTTGAATATTGGCAGTTTCACGTGGTCCCACTCAGTGCAGTCAGGGCGCAAAATAGGCTGGAGCAGGAGCAGGGAGATGACTCCAACGAGGGTGGGAGCTAGGAGGACGCTGGCGAGGAAGGACAGCTGAGCCAGGCCGTGGACTGAGTGGACAGGAAGGACAGCCGAGCCAGGCCGTGGACTGAGTGGACAGGCCGTGGACTGAGTGGACAGGAAGGACAGCTGAACCAGGCCGTGGATGTGAGCGGACAGGCCATGGACTGAGTGGACAGGAAGGTCAGCCGAGCCAGGCCGTGGACTGAGTGGACAGGAAGGACAGCCGAGCCAGGCCGTGGACTGAGTGGACAGCAAGGACAGCCGAGCCAGGCGTGGACGTGAGCAGAGCTGCGAGGCCGGCAGAGGCAGGAGTCCTGAGCCGAGCACCTGCAGCCCAGCTCGGACGTCAGGATCAAGCAGTTGTAAGCTAGTGCTGGTGCCAGAGACGGGGCTGCAGAGGTGCGACCTTCAGACTGACGTAGGGAGGAATTTGGGTTTGGGTGGGGAGTGGGTTTGAGTGGAGGAGTTGGAGTCAAGAGACAGAAGGGAGGTCAGATCGATTGGATCGAGAGGTGTTTCTTCAATGTGGGTGTCGAGAGAATTAGCAAACTGCGGACCAACGCTCGGGGCTTGGACTGCGCATGGCGTCGGGAGGTGAGGTCATGGTGGCCGAGGCGGAAGCTGCAGGTGGCAGTGGGTGGGGTGATGAGAGAGAAGGACCCCGAGCCTCACGCAGGCTCTGGGACCTCAGGGGTACCTGCAGGAGGCAGGGGCTGTGAGGCTGTCTCCTGAAGGGGAAGGAGACGGGAACACGTGTGTAGGGACTGAACCCCGAATGCAGTGAGGTTCCAGCAGAGGTTGGGGACGGTGGTCCAGGGCGGGGCGTTGGCAGTGAGGGAGGGTTTCCGACAGTCGGTAGGCGGGTCCTGGGAGAACTCAGAGGAGGGGAGCTCTCCTGGGAACGGTCAGCCTAGCTTCACGCAGGGGCGCGGTGTGAAGGCTTTGAAGCGTGGGGAGACTTCGCGGGAGCGGACAGGAGGCGTGCCCAGGGATGAGAGGGGCCGGGGGAGACTTGGGAGCGGACAGGAGGCGTGCCCAGGGATGAGAGGGGCCGGGAGGACGGGGTGTGTGGAGCTCAGGGGTGCGTGGCGCTGCTTCCTGGGAGCGCCCTGTGGAGGTCAGAGGGGCGAAGTCGGAGGGGTGGGTCGGGCGCTCTGCTTAAGGGCGAGACCCGGCCACCCAGGCTGTCCGGCTTGAGCTTTGTCCTGGGGGAAGTCGCCGAAAGTGTCTGACTGGAGGCTGACACTCTGAGAATCCCTTTCAGGAGGGTCTCCCTGGTGTGAGGTGCACATGGGCTGGAAATGGAGGAGTTGACAGGGCGGCAGGAGGTGGGACTCAACGAGGCCCCGGAGCGAGGTGACGGCCGAGAAGGGGGACTCGTTGCAATGACAGCCGATTGGCCAGTAGGAACAGACAGTGTGTGGAGATGGTGCACTGCAGGGGAGCGGCCTGGGGAGGGGGCGGACAGCGAAGGGGCATCCGAGAGAAAGGGGTGCATTGGTGTGTCTCAGGACGTCACAAAGGACACTGACACTCAGACTTCACGCGGAGCAACGTGAAGGTTCGGCACCGACCTCTTTTTTTAAGAGCGTTTACACTTTCGTGCTGTGGGTACAGCTCATTTTCCTCTGACTTCCAGAAAGCTGGGATTGCCTTCCAGATGGACAACTGTCTGCCCAACCTCGTCAACCTGAGCGAAGACCCCCAGCTGTCGGAGACGCTGCTGTACGTGCTCAAGGAAGGGGCCACCACGGTCGGCAGATGCGGCCCCTCCTGCAGCCCCGACATCCGCTTGTCTGGGGTGCTGGTGGCCGACCACCACTGGTGAGTTAGTCTTGGGAACAAGGGCACCTGATCCTTCTCCGCGGGCCCAGGTCCCGGTGGCGTGAGGTGCGTGCGTCCTTGCTGTCGTTCTTCCAAGCGTCTTCCACCAGGAAGGGGGACACTCGGAGCCTTCAGTAAGGACGGTGTGGGGACCAGGCAGTCACCACCCCGTTTTTGTTTACGTGGCCTGTTGGTTCAGGGACCAGCTTTCTTGGAATTGTAGTCACAGGCATGAGACTGACCCCTGGTCATCTTCGGTGCAGGGTGTGGGTGGGACCAGTTTGAAACTGTCGTGTGAACTTTGTCCCCTGCATGGAGTGATCACAGGTGGTGGGTGACGGTACCTGTCCTGTCTCGGCTCCACTTAACACCAAAGGAGGAACCTGAGGGGCTGGTGCTGTGCTACCTTTTGTTACTCTGCCTCTGCCCTGCGATGGTGACAGTGTCTCCACCTCACAGCACGATCAGAAACGTCGATGGGACCGTGAGCATCATCCCCGTGGGGGGAGCAAAGACATACGTGAACGGAAGACACGTGCTGGAGCCCACAGTGTTGCACCACGTGAGTTGGCGGTTCAGGTGGGAGGAGGCGTTTGACTCCAGCAAGCTGTTCATTCGTTTGCGTCTGAGTTGGAAGAGTCCCTTCCTCTTCATCCATTAGCCACCTTCTGTGCCAAGACAGAAGCCGGGTGACTGGGAACCAGGGCCAGACGAGCTGCTCACTATTAGCGTCGTTGTGTTTGGAGGAAACTGGGCTTTACAGCCAGGCCGACAGGGGGAGCTCTGGCCCTGCCCTGGGCTCTGGGACCTTGGAAGGTCTGATTGCCTCGCCCAGGCCCCGGCACTTGTGAGCCTTGTAATAGTTACTCGGGGAGAACAGGCACCCAGGACACATGCCCACTTCCTGTGCCCCGCTTGTCGGGCGGCTAAAGGAAGTGGCCTGTGTCCAGTGCAGAGCAGTGTCCGCAGGCAGGACGCCCTCTGAATGCCTCTTACTGTGTTGCAAGTCGGCCGTTCCTCCTGAAGTCGGGGTGATGCCGAGTCTCACGGTTGTGGTGAGAGGTGTAGGAGGTGAGACACATGTGGAATGTTTCACACAGTTTTCAGCACAGAGAGAGTGTGGGGCAAACGTTAGCTGCTGTGATGTGTGCTGCTCACTGATGACACTCGACTGAAGCGCTGAGCGTGGTGGTTTGTCCCCGGTGTTGTTGGTTCAGACGCACCTGCAGCAGTACGTCTTCTGTGTGCCGCAGGGTGACCGTGTGGTTCTTGGTGGAGACCATTATTTTAGATTCAACCATCCAGCAGAAATCCAGAAAGGGAGAAGACCGTCCGGGGGAGACACCCTCACGAGCGAGGGGCCCAGGGACTTTGAATTTGCGAAGAGCGAGTTGCTGGTGGCTCAGAGATCTCAGTGAGTATTGTCGTTGGTCCAAAGCAGTGTGTCTGGGGGGGCGGGTCTACAGGCACAGGGCTGTGGAGCGCTCAGCACCCGGGCTGGTCGCCAGGAGTCAGTGCGGGGTGTTGACATCTGGGGACGCGGTCTTTCCTCTCGGCACGTTCGTCACTCCACAGACACTCCGCGAGCAGAGGACCTGCGTCTGCACTCGCCAGGGTGGGGGGCCCTTAGCTCCGCACTGGAGGAGCCGTGGTCTCCCAGGGCGACAGTTGTGACGGCGCCCTGCCCTGCCCTGTGTGGGCTTGTGGGGACTCCTGGCCCCGACCGGGGACCACCTGTGCACTGTTGTAGGATTCTGGTTAAGCAGTGTCCTTGGGAACTCAGCGGTGACATATGCCTAAAGAACGTACCGAGTTTGGGTTCATCATGAAGGGCACGGGATCGTTCAAGAGCTTTGAGCTGACTTGAGAGAGACACGATCCGAGTCACCCTTCTGGAGAAGCACCACGGCCCGGGGCCTGGCAGGCGCTCGATTAGAGGAGGTGGTGTCGTGTGCAAAGAGGATTAAGGAGAAAGAGACAATGAGGCTTGGTGACGGGTGGGGGTGGGGGGGCAACGTGGGCCGGACGCTCCTGTCGTGTCCCTTTCCGGAGGCTGGAGGCCGCCCCGTACTTCTCGCAATAGACAGAGCGTGACACTCACCCTCCCAGCCACTTGCGCACTGCGGCTCAGGGCCGCTCAGCGCACTGACGTCCGACAGCCTCGCCCCATGGTCCGCGGAGCCTTCTCTTCCCGCGACCCCTGTCCCCACGGATCTCTGACGCCCTCCCCCGTAGCTCCCGGCTCGGTCGTCCCACATTCCTGGTCTGTCCCCAGTACAATGGGGCGTGCTGATGTCTGCGTGAGCCGCTGGACAGCCACAGGCGGCTCAGCAGGCGCCAGTGTCCCCTCAGCAGCTGCCTGACGGGCTTCGCCACTGTGGGTTTTCCGATGTGACCGGAGAAGGGTGCTGGTGTGGAAGTGGGAACCTGCTCCGCCCCTCGTCAGTGCAACACCCTTGCCTCGTGCTTTCTGTGGTGGCGACTGTAGCAGTTACTGCAGCCACTTCTCACCTAACTTGTTCTTAAGCATCAGGAAAATGTATCCACTTAAACATCGGGCATCTGCAACAGTAACTAAGTTATAAATGAGCACATTGTCATCCATGTATATAAAGGATGAAAACGATTCTAAAGCTAATAAAAGTTTTAGAACACTGTTGACAGGATGTCAGAAATTAAGTCTTGAGATTTAAATATTTGTCGAATGGAAAACATTTTAACATGATTAAGAGCTGATGTGGTTCTGATTGTTTAACCACGACGCTGAGCCCCCAAAAAGAACGCAAAGTAATGTTGAATGTCAACTGTGATTGAAAGAATTTTTAAAAACAAAACACAAGCTGTTAGGGAATCGAGGGACTCCGACGATGCCGGTGCCCGTGTGCTCTGCAGGCTGGAAGCGGAGATCCGAGAGGCACAGCTGAGGGCGAAGCAGGAGATGCTGCAGAGCGTCCAGATCGCGCAGGAAGTGGCCGAGCGCGAGCTGTCCTCGCAGAGAGCCGCCTACGAAGGCAGGATAGAGGCCCTGGAGGCGGAGCTGGTAAAGGCGCACTGGCCCTCTGCCAGGGCCCAGAGGGGCCAGCGGGGGTGGCCCTCTGCCCTCACTGGAAGGCGCGTTGGTGGCAGCCTGGGTGGCCACGGGGCAGAGACCGAGGAGACTCTGTTTCCAGTTCGCCTGCTGGTGTTCAAAGTGACGACCCGCAAAGGGGCCGTTGTCATCGATCGCGACGTCACGCTGGTCCTCCACCCGCGTGAGCCCGCTGCTGGGGCAGGCCGCCCCATTCCCAGGGCCCAGTGGAGGAGGGTTTGGCGACGGCTCATTTGGGTCAGATGCTCGCTGCGTGCGAGGCTGGAGGCTGCGGGGCAGCCCTTCCCCCACGAGCCCCTGTCCCTGCTTCCGTGGAGGGAGGGCCTTTCGCACGTTTGGGGAATCTTCTCAGGAAACGCTTGGTATTTCTGCCCTGGTTATTTCTGTGATTGTTCTTTAAAGAAAGAAGAGTCTCAGAGGAAGAAAGCTCAGGAGATGAGCACCCAGAGAGCTTGCCGCAGAGTCGAGGAGCTGGAAGAGGCCAAGCGGCGCCTGGAGCAGGAAGTCCGCGGCGCCCGGAGGCGGCTGCAGGTGGAGAGCCTGGCGGCCCAGCAGGTGCTTCTCGTGGGTGCTGTCGGGGGCGGGGCGGGCTCCCTGTGCGCGGGCGTGTGGCTGAGGGTGGCGCCCCGCTCAGCTCTCAGGCTCCGCCCGGGTGCCCTGTCCTGGCGTGCCCATGGCCAGCGCCCCATCGCACACAGCGTTCGAGGGGACACCGCTGTTTCTTCTGTTTTGTTTTCTTAAAGAGTTAACATGACTGTATATATATTTTTAAATTTATTTTTATTTTTTAATTGACTTTTAGAGAGAGAGGAAGGGAGAGGGAGAGAGAGAGAGAGATACATCGATGAGAGAGAAACATTCATCTGCTGCCTCCTGCACACTCCCCATTGGGGATCGAGCCCGCAACCCGGGCCTGTGCCCTGACCGGGAATTGAACCGGGACCTCTTGGTCCACGGACGACGCTCCACCCACTGAGCCACACTGGCCGGGCCTTCGCCTGTTTCTTAATCGCTGGAGCCGCTCCGCTCGCAGCCTCGCTCCCCGTGTGGTCTGCCCCTCTCTCCGCGATTGTGGCGGGCGGGGCTGGGAGAAGATGCCCAGTGACCCCGAGAAGGGGTCCCGTGGCCCCGTGGTGATCGGATGTCAGTAGTCAGCTCTGGGACCCAAAGGGCCCAGAACTCCGAGAGTTTTAGGAGGAAAAATAGCTGTTTTCATCTTGGAGACGCTATGAGTGGGCTCTCGTAGGTCATTTGCATCCGGTGAGGTTTTCTGGTGTCTGCATGTGGGCTGCTTCTAAAGGTTTTGTTTTTGGTTTTTTGCTTCCTATCAATGGAAAGAAAAGGATTAATCTACCCAGCTGGTGTGGCTCAGTGGCTGAGCATTGACCCTGCACCAAGAGGTCACCAGTTCGATTCCCGGTCAGGGCACATGCCCAGGTTGTGGGCCCGATCCCCAGTGGGGGGCGTGCAGGAGGCGGCCAGTCGATGTTCTCTCTCACTGATGTTTTTGTCTCTCTCTTTCTCCCTTCCTCTCTCTAAAATCAATGAAGAAAATAATTTAAAAACAAAAGATTATTTCATCAAAAATTTTGAATATTTTTATGGGGGAAAATTATTTTATAAAAATATTTTATACATTTTTAATAGCCTTTTATGCTTAATGGAACGCGTCTTGTAAAATGAGGCCTAACTGCTGTGTGTTCCCACGATTGGTCTGGTTTTATAATTTCTCTCCTCGCACGTTCTTACGTGTGGGTCTGCGTGAATAGGCTCTGGAAGACCACAGCATCCGCCACACGAGGATTCTGGAAGCTTTAGAAGCTGAGAAGCAAAAAATCGCTCAAGAAGTCCAAACGCTGCAGCAAAGCCAGAGCCGTCGGGGGAAAGCTGCCCCCCGTGAGTGTCTGGCGCTCCGCGCGCTGCCGGGCAGGGTGGCCGTGGATTCTCAGTCTCTCAGTCCCGTGGTGACTCTTCCCTCCCCCAGAGGGTTGCGATGGGACACAGGTTCTCAGTGCGACTGAACAACACGGAAAGCATTGAGGATAGAATCTTAACTTTAAATTAGGAAAATGAAGTTGTGAATGAAATTATTTTCTTTCTTGTTTTAATGTCCTGGTTACATCTGTATCCATTCTTTAAAAACTTCAGGGAAAATAGAACGGATTGTGATTCTGCATGAGTTTGGCTGTAGTATATTTTTAGAAATTAGGGGAAAAAAATCTTTGAAGATATTCGAAGGAAAAGCATAGTCTTTGGCATCTCCTGTCTTAGGATTTTCTTATCCCCCTAATCAACTCCAGTTACCTCCCTCGCCCGCACAGTGAAAGGCGTAATTCTAGGTGAAGAATATGTCATTTCACCAACGGGGGCTGGGGAAGTGGCTGGAGGGTCGCGTGTCCCGCCCTCCGTGGTAGTGGTCCAAGCCCCCTGCGTACAGTGGGTGGTTTTTCAGGAGTCGTTCTGCCTGGGGCGTTGTCAGTGCCCATGTCTGTGTCTCACGTCCCCTGTGCTCTCCGCCAGTCCCCACGAGCTGGGGCTCCATGAAGCTGTCCCTGATGATCCAGGAAGCCAACGCCGTGAGCGGCCGGTTTCAGAGACAGTATGTTTTTGGCAGGTGAGGAACCGATCATCCAAATTGTAGAGGAATGCTTTGTTTTAAAATGGTTTACCTCCCTGTTACTCTTCCAGTGTCTCTAAAGACATGCTGTCCTGCAGCGCCTGTCGGGGGGGAGGGAGTGTCGGGGCCCTAGGGCCGGACCCCCCAGAGCTCGCGGTGCAGAGGGCTCTGAGTGGGGAGCGGACCGCTGGGCAGGCTGGTGCTGTAGGACTTACTGTTCTGGTTGAAAATGTATCAGTAGTTCACAATGTAAAGGGAATACATCTTATTAGACTCTATAAATTTTTATTTAAGAAGTTTTAATACAGCATGAGCTACACACAGCGACCACTCGTAAGCTTAGCTCTGGAGGTGTGTAATTAGCGGGCCCAGTGTGTGTGGAAGTCCATCTGATGCAGAAAGCTCTCCGTGTAGACGATGGGTCTCTGTTGTAAGAACATTTTCCTGCTTCCTTCAGACACGAGACGTCAGACGGAGGAGGAGGCTCTGGCCCTCGGGTCCGGGTGCGCAACCTCCAGCTCGGCGTGTCCACCCTCTGGAGCCTGGAGAAGTTCGCGTCCAAGCTCGCGGCCCTGAAGGAGCTTTACGAGGTGCGGCTCTTACTCAGTCTCTCTAAACCTCTGGAAAGAAAACATAGATAAGTGACATGTACTCCGCAAAGAAAATGCGCCTTGGGAAGGCCGCTCACATCCCCCAGCCCAGCGGCACTGACGCGTGTGCCCTGCCTGCAGGGCGGGCCGTGTTGCTCTGTCTGGTGTAACTGATAGAAGTTAGTGCCGAGTCTGTTCATTGGTGATTATGTGGTTTTGAAATTTCACTTTGAACCCGGCCGGTGTGGCTCGGTGGTTGAGCATCGATCCTGCACCAAGAGGTCGCCGGTTCGCTTCCTGGTCAGGGCACATGCCCAGGTTGTGGGCCCAATCCCCAGTGGGGGGCATGCAGGAGGCAGCCAATCGATGTTCTCTCTCATCGATGTTTCTCTCTCTCTCTTTTCCTCTTTCTCTAAAAAATCTGTAAAGAAAAAAAATTAAAATTTCACTTTGAAATGTAAGGAAAGGATGACCTGGCCTGCAGGTCTATTAACGAGGACTCTAGAGGGGGAGTGAGGATGAGGAGGGACAAGAGACACGAGAAATGGAGACAAGACAGGATTCTGATCAAGTCTCGTTTATTCAGGGGGAGTTAACACACTATATAGGGGAAAACAGGTGAAACAGTTAATGAGTATCCCACCTGAAGCCAATTCCAGTAAATGCCCCAGGTGGAACAAATAAGCAAAGAATGGAGTAAACAGTTATCTAGAGGAATGCAGGCACTGCACGCAGAGAGACCCCGCCCCGGGGCCGGAGCTGGCAGAGCAGACTTAACAAGATGGATGCCATGCACATGGTCTCCCACAAAAGGACATTCGAGATGCGAAGCAGTTCGCGTCATTGGACATGAACCCAGGGCGCGAAGGCTGTGGGTTCTCCCCAGGCCCCGCCCGCGCGCTCACCGCTGTGCTTCCGGGCTCCCAGTCACTGTTTCCGCCGTCACAGCGTCTCGGCACACGTTCGTTCCTGCGTCTTCCTTTCTGTCCGCCGTCTAAAGTCATGCCCAGAACATCAGCGTCCTTCACTCTGATGCTCACACTTGGCTGGGGGAGATAGCGCCCCTCCCCGGCCCCCCAGACTGCTCCGGGTGCACGTGGTGGCTGGCGCATCAGAGGGTTGGGTCTGTGTCCTGTGGGGAAGGTGAATGTTCAGTCTAGAAAATAAAGAGAGACAACCGGGGAAAGCACACGGGGGCTCACAGAAACAAGAGAGAACCGGTCGGTACGTTAGGAATCGGGGAAGTGGAGCTCTGGGCCTCCGGAGGTGACCAGGGGCCGAGGCCTTGAGAGAGAGGCTGCACCTGCTAACAGTGCGCTGCATGCAACACACGCGATAACTGTCCAGAAGGAAGAGACTTGTCAGTAAGAGAAAAATCAGGAAAGTGGACTGAATGACCATGCAATGAACTGAAAAGTTTGTCAACAAACTAGCCTCAAAAAAACGTGGGGGTGGGGCAGGTGTGGACCCCAGTAGTGTCAGGAGTAAGCTCTTCTGAACCTCGGAACAGTAAGTCCCGTGAGCTCTTCCAAAACAGTGCAACACGCGGACACGTCGCAGTCGCCTTACAGCGCTGGTGGAATAATTGATTAAAATCAAGCAGAAACCACAAAACCTGCAAAGTTGATTCAGAAGGGAACCACAAACCGATCTTGATATGATCACAGCTATGAAAACCCTGAATGCAATGTCAGTCAGTCAGTGGAACCCAAACACATTCAAAGAACCCTGCCACCGTGACCAAGTAGGGTCAGTCCCAGGAAGACAGGTGCGTTCGTGAGCGAGAACCCACAGCCGGAGGAGCCGGCCCAGAGCGCCGACAGCGGTTGCATCTAAACGACGGGCTACGAGGGGCTGTTTTTCCTTCGTGTTGATGTGTATTAGTAATTTCAAATTTTCTACGACAACTGAGTTGCTTATGTAATCAGGCCCCAGAGAACTGTGCCGAGGTCATTCGCGCGTTCTTGCCTTGGCAGAGACATTGAGACCTGCCGGCGAGTCGCCCTCGTTAGTACCTTCCTCTTTCCAGCCCTTGGCCGCAGAACAGTCTTTACTTGTCTGTCCACACACCTGTGCTGTTTCTGAATCGAGCGCTACATGGTATTTATTTTGTTAGAACTTTGTTAATGGAATTAAAATACATATTGTCATGATCAATATATTCAATCAGTAAGTGAATGAGTCTTAACACCAGATTTTTTTCTTTCTTTCCCAAGGATTTCATCTTTTTTGTTTTTACTGTCTTCTAAATCCTGAGTTTATTATTTGAGTTATTTAATGGATTCTGTTGCTTTTATTAGATCTCTTTTTACATAGTCCCTAGCCTCCTATGATTGATTTTTTTAATTTGATCAGGAAGGTGATTTTTCTTTAGACTTTTGCCAGATGATCTGTAAGTTTGCTAGTTTTATATTTTAAATGTAAAAAAGTATTTGAAATGTTTTCTTAGTGCTCAACACTGTTACGTTCACGTTAACAGAAACTACATGTTTTCTTTATCTCAGAGTAACTGCAGTAACAAGTGTGAGGACCTCTTCTGTGACCCCGAGGATGAGTGGGAGCCTGACGTCACAGACACGCCCATCTCGTCTCTTTCCAGGAGGAGGTAAAGGCATCTCTGCTGCTGGCTTTCTTGTTCTGGAGTGCACCTGTATCGTCGCCCAGCAACAAGAGAAGTCGTGTACTACTGATCAAATTATAACACTCGGCGTTAAATCGTCAGTTAAAATAGGAAAAAAAATGTTTGGGTTTTCATCATGTAAATCTTAAGAGCGATTTAGAATAGCACACATCTAGTCTCCTATAGAAATGAACAGTGTTTATTACTTTCAAATTGCCCTTTCTCGGGAACTTGGCCTATGTTCTATGATAGTTTCTTGTAAGTTATAGAATTTTAAATGCAGTCCAGTTAGTAAGAGCAAGACAGGAGGATGAATTGTGAGCTTCTATGCATGACAAATGTTGCTTACTAAGGACACAAGACTTCCACAGCAAACGGATGATTTTTAAGAACACACAGATGGTGGTGATGGTGATGGTGATGGTGATGGTGATGGTGATGGGGTGGTGATGGTGGTGGTGGGGGTGGTGGTGATGGTGATGTGATGGGGTGATGGTGGTAATGGTGATGATGAAGGTGGTGATGGTGATGATGGTGGTAGTGGTTGTGATGGGGTGATGGTGGTGGTGGTGGTGGTGATGGCGATGGTGATGATGATGATGGTGATGAGGTGGTGGTGATGGTGATGTGATGGGGCAATGATGGTGGTGGTGATGGTGATGGTGGTGATGCTGGTGATAATAGTGATGGTGGTGGTGATGGTGTAGAGTTGTTATGAGATTATAGGTAACGTATATAAAGCTCCTACTATAGGGGATAGATGTTCAATACATGGAAACTCATTTTTATTGGGTGTTCAATATGTTTAGAGTACACACAGGATATGATTTCTGATTTCATACCAATAAACAGTTATCTCTTCAGGTGATTTCCTGAGGACTCAGAACAGAGCTGGGCTCTGGCACCGGAACGAGCCAAAGGCATTTGCGGGTGGATTTGGGTGGTTGAGACCTGGGACACGAAGCCAACCTAGAGTAACATCAGCCTCCCAGAAAATCAGACTAGAAACACAGCTCCATCGTAGGGTGATGTACAAATCCCTTTAGATTTTTACTGGTTTCCTCTTATTATTTATTGTAAACAGATAGAAACTCTGTACTTAAAGGAATGGATCACAATATGAGCATCCATCATCAGTGAACATCAGAGGTTCAGCCTGTGGAATGTTGGTGATTCAGACCTTATTTCCTGCTGACTGTCAGGCTCATAATCAGGGAATCAAGGGAAGTTTCAGTTGTTGCTGAAAAATCAAAACTACTTAATATTCTTAAGGTTTTGAAATTAGGTGTTTTCGTGCGGCGGAGATGTTTCTGAGCACGTCTGTAATTTAAAAGCATCATTTAAGGGAATGACTCGCTCCTGGTCAGACCTTGCAGTGAAGCTCCGGCCTTGCGAGGTGTTTAGGACGGAACCACCGCCTGCGGGTGACGGGCCCTGGCAGCTGCTTAATTATGGAGCTGCCTCCGGGCGACGGCGGCCCCGGGCCGGCTGCAAAGTAGAGGTTCGGCTGCCGGTGCATTTTGATGTGTAGTGTTGACAGTTAAAAGTAAAATTTCCCCAATGCTAAACAGAAATTCTTTGAAAGGAACGTGACAGGCATTTTCTTTATTTGAGTTTAGACGTTATTAGCTCACGGTGGTGGTGAAGGACCAGGTGTTCTAGGTTAGACTCGCTGGGACGATGTGCCTTTCTCCACACCCGAGTACCGACGCTGTGACCTGTGAGCGTCCGTGTGTCCTCTCTGTACCTGTCCTGTCTGTGGGGTCTGTGCGGAAGGTGTCTATGTGAAGCAGCTGGCTATGTGGACGAGGCAGCTAGAGAAAGGGCCACAGCTGGGCGGCCAGCCCCCGGCCCCAGGGAGGGGCCCGAGTGACCTCACCAGGAGAGACGGTGGATCGAACCGTTCCCTCGACCCAGTGCGGCCACTGCACTGCCCAGGCACGTGCCTCTCGGGCACAGAGTCCATTTCAGTTTTCATTCACAGACCACTTCCCGTGGAAGACCCTTCCCAGGGTAACGCCTACGAGGTCAGCCTCGTCCCCGGCCTCTGCCTGTCCTCCCCACATGCTGTCCCCTGCGTCTCGTCTGAGCCCTGTCCCCTGCATCTCGTCTGAGCCCTGTCCCCTGCGTCTCATCTGAGCCCTGTCCCCTGCGTCTCGTCTGAGCCCTGTCCCCTGCATCTCGTCTGAACCCTGTCCCCTGCGTCTGAGCCCTGTCCCCTGCGTCTCGTCTGAGCGCTGTCCCCTGCATCTGAGCGCTGTCCCCTGCGTCTGAGCCCTGTCCCCTGCATCTCGTCTGAGCCCTGTCCCCTGCATCTGAGCGCTGTCCCCTGTGTCTGAACCCTGTCCCCTGCGTCTGAGCGCTGTCCCCTGCATCTGAGCGCTGTCCCCTGCGTCTCAGCCCTGTCCCCTGCGTCTCGTCTGAGCCCTGTCCCCTGCGTCTGAGCCCTGTCCCCTGCATCTGAGCGCTGTCCCCTGCGTCTGAGCCCTGTCCCCTGCGCCTCGTCTGAGCCCTGTCCCCTGCATCTGAGCGCTGTCCCCTGCGTCTGAGCCCTGTCCCCTGTGTCTCAGCCCTGTCCCCTGCGTCTCAGCCCTGTCCCCTGCATCTGAGCCCTGTCCCCTGCTCCCTGTCTCCCCCTCCGGCTGCCTCTGCTCCCACTTCATGTCACTGCCCGGGTGGCCCTTCCGCCTCCCTGGTCCGTCTTTGCCAACCTTCCCATAGTGCTCTGCTCTCATAACACTCGTGACTGTGTTGCCGTCATTTGCCTGGTTTCTCTCTTCCTGTGAACTTCTAGCTCAGTGAGCCCAGAAACCATGTTTGGTGTGTTTCTCTGTGGTGTTCAGAGCCTGTTCTAGTTAATGAACTAACTGAATGCAACGACCAATACCTGGAAATGGTGAAATTCTTGCTCCGTGATGTGAACCCTTGATGAAGTGCTTCCTGTAGAGAATTTAAAATGAGTATTCTGCCCTGGCCAGTTTGGCTCAGCGGTCAGAGTGTTGGCCTGCAGACCAGAGAGTCCCGGGTTTGGTTCCCACTAGGGGAACGTACCAAAAAAATAAAGTAAAGTAAATAAAATACAATGAGTGTTCTTAGTGACGCTGTCCCACGGAGTAGAGGGCGCTGACCTGGTTTCTCTGCTCAGGAGCAGGAGTCTGGTGAGGAGCCGAAGAATTTCTGGCTATTTGCACGACGTCCAAGCTCACACAGCTCGGAACCCACATTCTTCGTGCTCGTCAGGTGTGTGTATCAGCTGATTTTGTGGACAGAAAAGCGAGTCCCGGCTGGCTCTCCGCCCCGCGTCCGCGTCCCGTCCAGAAGCTCCCGTGCCCTCTCAGCGGAGGAGCCGGCCGCCCTCCACTCCTGCGGGTCTGACCTCAAAGCCTGGGGCCGAGAGGCTGGTCCGGTGGGCGGTGTGCGCACAGTCAAGGGTGGCAGGTCTGGTGCCCGGGAACCAGGCTCCGTGGGGAAACCAGGCACCATTACTCCACTGCGCAGAGTCGTCTCTCCCTGGGATTTGCAAAGACTTGATCGGCTCGTCGTTAGCTGCTCTGGGACCGAGCCGGGAAGAGAAGACGATGGCAGACAGCCTGATGCGCAGTTTCCTGCAAGTCCACAGCGGGCTGCTGGCCGTCTCCCAGGCCCACGAGGAGCAGGACGAGGAAGATCAGGACGACCGTAAGCCGCTCCCGCGGGGGTTCTCTGCTCTGCGTTGAATGGGGGTTGGCGCAGCTGCGACCGGCCCTGACTGTCAGGTGTGTGAATGGCGCCGTGAGCGTCTCTTGGAGGCGCCCCTTCCGATAACCCTCCTCCTTCTTCCCAAGTGTTCTCTTCTGACCGCGCAGCCCAGGCGCGGGCTGTGCAGATGGCGTGTGCCTTCGGGCAGCTCACGGCGCTCGTCACGCACTGGCTGGGCGATGCCCCCCCCAGCGCCCGCTCGGCACAGCTTGGGGACGAGCTGAGACAGGAGGTGAAGAAGCTGGGCAGCCACTTACAGGTGTTTCTGCAGGTCAGTCGATCGGCTGGTTCTCCTCTGAAGGGGGGGTCAGTGAGTGCTGGGGGCCGAGTCCCGTCTGCATCTCCCCGAGTCAGAGCTGCAGGGAGGGCTGGCCGGGCACAGAGCTGGAGACCGGAACCTGCGGGCTCGACGTGGGCTCGAGCCCGGGGAGGGAGCGGCCGTGGGCGTCTGGCCGACGAGGGAGATGCTGAGCTGGCGCTCGGTGTTCGGGGCAGCACAGGGACAGGAAGGGACCCAACCCTGCCCGCTGCTGCTCTAGGGAAGCCGGTCAGGTGTCCTGGGTGAACCGCTCGGGTTTTCAGTCTCTGCTCCCCCCCCCCCCCCCCCCGGAAGAGACCAGCAGCCCCTGCGCCGCCGCCGTGTGGACCAGGTGCGCGATGTCTGGAGACGCCCCGTGTGCGTCCCTGCTCTGTGCTTCCTCCTCGTCATTCTTCCGGAAGGTCACTCTGAACGTAACTCAGGGTGTGGCCTGTGGCCCTGAGAGACATGTTTCGCGGAGGGATCCAGTCACCTGTTGGCCCGGGTGACTGGAGGGGCAGGAATCGTTCAAGGGAAGAGCCACCGCTCCGTCCGCCTTTGGTGCTCACTCATTCTGTTCCGGGGTGGCTGCGGCAGGTGTCTTCTGGTTCTGAGACTTAGAGACAGTCCCTGTATCGGGAGCAGGATCGGTTTCCTTTGCGACTGTCTGGTCTTCGCTCCCCAAAGCTCCCGCACCTGGTAAACGGGTCCGTTGTCTTACAGGGGTGCTCCTCCGAGATTCCGTCGATGGTAAGTGACGCTCAAAAGAAAGTTGTCCAGGTCGTGCGACAAGCTGTGATGTGTGTGGGACAGTTGGCGGTTCTGAACGGGACTAGACTTCATCTTCTGGAAAGTGGCGACATGGATGCCGGCGTCCAGGTGGGTGCGCGACGCAGTCTGGAAGACGCCCCCTGAGCGCACCAGAGACGTCTGGTCACAGTGACAGAGCGCGCCAGCTCCCCTGCTAGAGTAGCTCCTGCCGAAATGGTTTCAGACAGTTAAGACAGTTTCCATGTCAGCTGGTCTGGTGTGTGAACCTGCGGGTGGTTTGGGGTCCTCGCCTGACCTCTCGGACCTCTGGTTTGAGGACAGTGGTCTGCCGTGGGGGGCTGCACAGCCGCCGGCTCGGGAGGGACTGTCACCAGGGGGCGAGTCTCTCTGGCTTAGACCGCTCGGGCTGCTGAGACCCTGTGGCGGTGTCCTGGCCACACCTGCCCGAGGAGGACACACGTTCCTCCCACATGTTGTCCGTGGGGTCTCGGTGACAGGCCTGCCCCTTCGCTTCCTACGGACTGCCAGCCCCTGGTCTGGCTTCAGCGGAAGTTAATAAACTTGGAAGCAGAAGATAGAACCATCACTTAATTATTTAAAAAAAAAAAATCTGAAACCTGAATTTGCCGGTTGATGCTCCGGTCCTTTCCCAGGAGGGGATCATGGCTGCCGTCTGGGACGGAGTGGGCTCGGGCCTGCGGATGCTGCTTGAGTCCGGACTGGAGACGGCGCGGGCGCTTCGGCACGAGCTCTTGAGGCAGTGCCCCCAGGACCAGGTGAGAGGACGGCGGGTGCTGCGCGGTACCGGACAGCGGACCAAGTTGACCTTTTAAAAACAGTGTAACTCCGTGACTAGATTGTTGCAAACTCATGTCTCGGAATTGGTGGTACCCTGGTTCCGTTGGAAGGCTGCGGAGGTCCCTCCGGCAGGTGGTGCTTGCCCGGGTTGCTGCAGCCTCCGAGGCCGATGTTTTGCTGGTCGCGAGGAACTGGGCCGGGGTCACCCTCGCGAAGCAGCAGCGATACCTGCTGTCCGCTCTCCCCCCCCCTTGGCTCTGGTCTGCGTCTCCGCTGGCCGATGCAAACTACCGTCAGTTGACCTTGAATGAGCGTCTTGCCGAGGTTCCCACCGGTGGTTTCACACCGAGACACAGAAGCAACGCAGATTGAGTGGTTCCTGGAACGAGCTCCTCGCCCGCCCCAGCTCCCTGCATCAGAGCAGGGGCCAAGCTGGCGGGGGCTCGGTGGGGGGGCTGGTGCTTAAACCTGGTGTCGCTTCTCAGCTCTGTTCAGCGTGGCCCCGTGCTCCGACCCTGCCTCTTCACCTGCAGTGTCGCAGGTGGGAGCTGGTCCTTCGTGAGCCTCCACTTTGCAAGGCAGGGGCTCCTCGTGTCCCCAGGAGCTACTGAGCGGGGTCCTGTCCACGACCCGAGCCGGGGCTGTGTTCTGTCCGCTTGGGCCTGAAGCCAGCACGTCACACACTGCTCCCCCTTACTGAGGTCCACCCCGTGAGTCGAGGGTCAGGAAGATAAAGCTCGAGTCCGTGACTGAACTTGAGGGGCTGGTCAGTTCCAGAATCCTGTTGTGGCGACTTGACGGTCCCGTCGCTTCCCTCCCTCTGGCTGGAATCGGCCAGCTGGGCGGAGCTCCCTGCTGCCCTCAGTTCAACTTAGTCCCCGTCACAGGACGGTCCTCTGCCCTCGCCCGGGGCTCTTCCCCTGCCTGGTCCCCCGGAGTCCCGGGGTTTTGCGCCTGAAGAACCACTTGCGTAATAAAAGGGTCTGACGTTCTCTCCAGGTCGCCCAGCAGCTGAGCGCTAAGGCCGCGGCCTTGATCGGGTGTCTGGAAAGCATCTTTGCCGAATGGAAAACAGTAAGGAAGCTCCTCGTTGTCTTTAGTGTGACGTTCAGTGTGTGTCCACCGCCCTGGGTCCGAGCTGTCGCGCAGGTTTCGGCTTCGCCCCCAGCAGGTGACGCCTGCTCGGCTTCGGCAGGGGGGCAGCTCAGGTCTGACCGCTCAGCCCAGTGACGAGCTGTGTGGACGGCGGCCAGTGTCAGCCTCGTCTGCCTCCTGCCCCTGGCTCTCAGCGCTCAGCTTTGCAAAATGTGTGTCTGGTCTCGTACTCAGGGTGCTCAGAGCCTGAGACACAGTGAATTACACACGTTGTGTCCTCCTGTCAGGTGAAGGGACGTGTAAACTCGGGAGAAACGTTTGCGCTTGAGAATGTTCACTAAAGAGATGGCGGGTGGAGAGGCAGGCTCTTCAAGCGGAGCGTTTGTCTTCTGCGGCATCAGGGCCACTAGCCTCCGCTGTACAGCCGGAGGGAAGTCCTACTGCCTCTGGAAACCCACTGTTAAGGTGGCATTTTGGTCTTGTTTGGAGAGAGCGCAACGCTGGTGAGGAGAGGGACTCGTCTTTGTGGGAGACACGCTTCCGCAGCGAGCCCCGTGGCCGAGCCTGCTGCCCTGCGTGCTCACACTCGCCCCTCTGTCCACACAGGAAAGTCCCGGGCCTCGGGGACAGCCCTCTGGGGGCGGAGATCTGAAGAGCGCGGCCGACCGCGCCCCAGACATCCTGGAGTTACAGCGCTGCTTAGAGCAAACTGTTCAGATGGTCGTTTCCATCCTGAGAGGTAGGTGCTCCCGCTGGAGGTCCACTCCGAAGGTCACAGGGTCAGGGGTCGTGGACACCTTTCACTTTTCACTTACGAATGAAACCTGACTAATGCCGCTCCGTTGACCTTAGTCACCAGCATCGGGGTGGTGTGACCGAGTCCCACTTCATGTGTAGGTGCTTCAGTCTCTAGAAAACCCCACACGCGTCTTGAGCAGTTGAGTTGAACGAGGTTAACTGGTGAGAATGGTCACGATCGGGCCCTTTGGCTGGACGCCCCTGGAGTCACGTGACCGTGGTCAGTGCCCAATGAGCAGGGCCAGTGAGCGAGCTCTCTCTCCTGCGCAGGACACCGCGGCGACGGAAGCCTCCTCAGGAGCTGTGTGGAGCGTGTCTGCAGCTTAGCCAGGGGCATCCAGGTTGGCAGCGGGGTGCACGCGGCCTCTGCCGGCGGCTGTGACCAGAGCCCCGGGGACCTGGCATCCATCGCCAAGTCCCTCCTCCTCTGTTTCGAGTCTGAAGATGGACCCGACTTGTTGAAACCCTGGGAGACGTACAATCAAAGTAGCAGAGAAGGGCCCGGGCCGCCCGGAGCGAGCGGGACGGGCCCCCGCGGGAGCAGAGGCGTTCCCCAGCGCGTCTACCAGCTGCCTTCTCGGCCCCCGCGCGGCTCACAGGAGCGCACGCCCAGCAGGACCCGGTGGGTGTAGCGCCGTGCGCAGGCCTGGCCGTGGTCGCGAGGGGACGGGGTGGGCCGTTGCCGTGCACGGAGGGGTACAGAGCGAGGCCGCAGCGTGCAAGCTGCCAGGAGATCCACGCCCGTTGCTGGCCGGCCGCTGGGCCTGGACTTGCGAGCGTGATGGACTCTGCTCTCAGGTCTGAAGGCGCCTCGGAAGTTTCCTGGTGGCCGGTTCTCGACAGGTGTTTGCAGAGTGGAACGGGCGGCGGGTACACTGACCTGAGGGGGTCAAAGCCAAGCTAAGGGACTTTCTCTACCGTCTCATTGCCCTGAAGCTGAGCTGTGTAGCTTTGACATCGATACACTCCCCTCAGTTCGCCTGTTTGTAAACTGTTCTTTCCTGCTGAGGAGAAACCCAAGCAGCCTGCTCCTTCTCCCCCACAAGGAGCCTTGGGTAAGGTTGGTGCAGCATTGCCAACATGCCCTGGCTGGTGTGCTCAGTGGGCTGGGCGGCGGCCTGTGCACCCAAAGGTCGCTCATTCGATTCCCGGTCAGGGCACATGCTCGGTGTCATGCTTGATCCCCAGGAGGCGGCCGGTCAGTGTTTCACTCTCACATCGATGTTCCTCTCTTCTCCTTCCTCTGTCTCTAAAAATCATTAACCTGTTTAAGAGCAATGCCAGCCGGGGGTGACCGACGGGCTCACCAGCATTCCGCCGGCGCGGGCCCTTGGGAGGCCCCGTGCCCAAGGCCTCGTGTCCCGTCTCTGCCCAAATCGCAGATCATGGCAGGTGACCGACGGGCTCACCAGCATCGCCGCTGACCGCCAGCGCTGCTCTGATTGGGGCTGAGGGCGTATAACCAGCGAGCCGTTTCCAGAGCCGCGCAGCTTGGGGGGGCCAGAGCTCAGAGGCTGGGCCTGGGCTGCACCTGCTCGCGCTCAGCCTGACCGCGTGGAACCTGATGAAGGTGGACGGTCCTCATGCGATTTCATCGTGTAACACACAGACCTTTCTATCTACAAGCAAGTGATGACGAAGAGTCAACGTGGGCTCTTACGTTAAGGAACTAGTCTGGCATCTTGCACTGCAACATGAGTGTCCTCGGAGAAGCCACGCAGTGATTCCGCCGGGGACATGGAGCAGCGCCCCCGAAACAGCCCATTCTTCCCTCCACCCTCTCAGGCGCGGGCACCCCCGTGCGTGGGCGGCGTCGCTGGGGAACAGCACTCACACCAGAATGGATCTGAAGACTTCCCGGGTCGGTGGCTTGAGAACACGCTGGTCGTGGTGTCAGCACAGGACGGACGGACCAGGCGTTTCCGGCGCTTTGAGCGGTGCTGCGGCTCACTGGCCTGGTTCCTCGGCGCCTGTCTGGCGTCTGGGCTTCGTGCTCCTGGGAACGCCGCGTGTGTGCCGCGTGTGTGCTGCGCGTGTGTGCTGCGCGTGTGTGCTGCGCGTGTGTGCGCTGCGTGTGCTGCGTGTGTGCTGCGTGGCGCTCTGCCAGGGGCCTGGCTCCGTACTGGGACTTCTCCTGAAGCTTGTCCCTGTTGGAGAACTTGCTAAGGTATCCGCGGGTGGTTTTCAACTTAATGCTCAGTATTTAATCTTTACTTCTTGCCATCTCACGACTTCATTGGTCAGAAACCATTTGGTGTCTTTGTACAATGCTGTGTATTTATATATTTATATTCAAAGTGCTATACAGTTTTTAAATGAGGGGTGAGAAGTGTGTTTGGTACTAGAATCGTGTGCACTGATCGATGTTGTAAGGAGAACGCTTTTAATAAATCTGCTCGGCTGCAGAGCTGTCTCTTGGCCTAAGGTGGTTTTCTTTTTTATCCTCACCCGAGGATACTTTTCCGTTTATCTTCAGATGGGGGGGAGGGGATATCGATGTGAGAGAGACACATTGATTGGTTGCCTCATGCACGACCCGACCAAGGCTAGGGACTGGATCGTGACTGAGGTACTGCCCTCAACTGGACTCAAACCCAAGACTCTCTCGTCCTTGGGCCAGTTCTCTAGCCACTGAGCCAAACCAGCCAGGGCAGGATTTTCTTCTATTGATTTTCTTTGTTTGCTTGGCTCCTGACCCACAGCGGTGTAGCTGTGCCTGGATAACGCTGTGGAGGCTGCAGCCCCAGCAGGTAACGAGGGCGCACTGAGCAGATGGCGGTGTTACTACAGCAGCTGCTGAGATGTTAAAAAACCTGCCCCCTTTTCGTTGGTTGTGTCTGGAACAGATTTGCCCCTTTGCTTTTTTGGAAGATCGCGAACTTGCAGTTTGATACGTTTCTCACACATTTAGCGGGAGTGTGACCCCACCTGGGCTGCCTGGTACCCGGGTGGCTTTAGACAAGGCACCAGCTGTCCTCCCACCCATTTCATCGGCAGAAAGCGGGCTCACGCCCCCCTCGCAGGCATTAGTGTGGGCCCCGAGGGAGAACGTACCCGCTGAGAGGGGCTCCCCCCGGGGACTGGGCTTGAGTGTAAGAACAGGGGCTGGGCCATTTCTGTGGGCGCCTCTCACTCAAACTGCACTTCAAGGAGAAGCCCGCCCTGAGCCAGAGGGGCTCCTGAAATCCTCGTTCCACCAGTAGGACTGAGACTTTCCCCATCCAATCAGCTGCACAGCTGTATTCCCAGCATCTTCACTGACCAATCAGGACAGTGCCCTCAGGACCAATCAAATTGAGAGGATTTGAATCCTTCATTTGCGTGAGGACGGACTAATCAGGGACCAGGGGCAAGGAGTGTGTCTGTTAGTCTGTCCCCCTCTGGCTCTGGGAGTCACTTGCTCTTCCCACCGAACACGGACGACAAACACGGACGACTGCACAGAAGACGGAGCAGGAAGATGCCCTGCTGGCTGCGCTGGATGGGAACAGGGAATGTGGCCCGAGGCGCAGCCGAGGCTCACACACGGGGACCCGGGGAAGTCCCGAGCCTTCCTTTTCCTTCTGGGAAGCTGACAGCAGGTTGTGCGGAGAAGGGGCCGGGCCCCCGTCAATGAGGCAGGGCCGCGGGAACCAGCCTGGGGGCCACGTCCGCAGGTCCCGTCCCTGTTGCAGGTCCTCATGCCCCTGCTGGCCTCACCTCCCTGCTCGGGACCTCTCACCTCTCCTCGCGGGGTGGCCCCTTGCAGGGAGGTGCGGGGCTGGGGGCTGTTCCCAGGGTGTGGTCAAGGGTGGGTGGAAGGTCTCCCTGCTCCCACCTCCCTCTGCCGGGTCTCCCACCACCCACCTGGCCTTCGGGTCAAAGTTCAGGTCCAAAGTAGAGGCTCTGCTGGGCAAAGCACCGACGTGATAGCTCGTCTACGTCACAGAATCACATGCTTTCTGAGGGGTCCCGTCCTGCACAGAATTAAAGGGCGAAGAAGCAGAAGCCACAGCCTTGACACCCTGCCTTCCCCTCCGCTGTCCAGTGTTCTGCAAAAGTTCCCTAACGGGAGCTCCAGGCTGCTGTGCTTTCGGCCTGTGCAACATCGCACCCTGCGGCTTTTCAGCCCAGGAGGGGCCGCCCTGCGGGGTGGGCGGCTGTGTCCCAATACGCCACCTATCTTCCCGCTCGCGGAGCACTCTAAGGTCTTCGGGGACGGCAGGGCTGTGAAAAGACGCTATTTATTATTCATCAACTTGATCCCCTTAATGGTCCCCGCTGCCGGGTCCCTGACCACCGAAGAGAGGCAGGAAGCGCTGACTGGAGGTGCTGGTGTTCTCCAAGACTCCTTTCTCCTTTCCCGTCTCCTCGTACTTTCAAAGAATGGAGAGCAGATGTCAGCCGTCCAAAGCACTGGAATGTGGAGGCCCGTCGGTCTTTTTTTTTTTTATCCTCACCCGAGGATATTTTTCCATTTTTTGTACAGATAGAGTGGGAGGGAGAGAGAGAGAGAAACATCGATGTGAAAGGGACACATCGAGTGGCTGCCACCCGCACGACCAACCAGGGACGGGGACAAACTGCAACCGAGGTACATGCCCTTAGCGGGAACCAAACCCGGGTCTCTCTGGACCACAGGCCGATGCTCTAACCGCCGAGCCAAACTGGCCAGGACCCGTCAGTCTTTTTTTTAGCCCCCAAAGAAACAGGGCCACCTGCTGTCGGAAGTCCTCCCCTCTCCTCCCTCCTGCAGCAGCCTCCTCCTCTCTCTCTCTCTCTCTCTCTCTCTCTCTCTCTCTCTCCCCCCCCCCCCCCCTCCTTTTCTTTCATCCACACCCGGCTGACAGCCTTCACCGGTTCTCTGGTCACTTCCTTAGCATTTATTTAGTACCTGGGATTACAACAGACATGACCACACCCACCTCGACAGTTGGTCCTCATGTAGCCTCACCCACAGTGCGTGTTGCTACTTTTCGAAACTTGAAAGGCCATCTGATGGGTGAAAGAAGAACATTGTTGCCGTGTGTTAACCAGCCATCATATTACTCACTTCCCAAGAAGTTGTTTACCCTCCTGGCTCCTTTTCCCGTAAGGCATAGCTGGGCGTAAGCGTTTGCTTCACGGGTTTGTAAGGACATTCCATTTTCTATCATGCGTCGCAAATATTTTTCAGTTTCTAGTTTGCCTTTAGCCTTCGTTATATTTTTGAAATTCAGGAACTTAAAATGGTAGGGGGTCAAAATTGATCAATACTTGATCCCGTGGGTTTGTGCCATAACATCCCGCCTAGAACCTCTTTGCCCGTCCTCAGTGTCTAAATGTCGCCCTTAGAGTCTAGCTCTCGTGGCTGCTTGCACTTTACATTTTTTAACGCATTTGCGACTCGTTTTTGCTGTATGAGGGGAGGTTAGGATTTCCTCCCAGATAACCAACCATCGTTTAAAACACTGTTTGTCACACACTCGCCCTCTTCCTTGTTGACTTGTGATTTACAAAATAAGTGTACCTTGGGTATCCTAGGGCCCATTTTATAACCATTTTTTCCCCTATTGCATTGTTCTATTACTTCTCCCGTCATCATCATTTTAATGCGTCTACATTGGATTTAATATCTGGTCATTGGATTTAACATCTGGTCATTGGATTTAAC